TTGTTCCGATAGGAACATTGAAATTTAAAGACTCTGATCTTGTACAAGATGAATGAAAATGTTTTTGATACTCACCTGTTTCAGATGTGGTGTATTGGTCATGTGTTAATGTATAGACAATAAATGGTCCGTACTCTGTAGTGACCAGCGATGTATGCTTATATCGAATTCCCAACCAACTTCCTTATAATTCTCTCAGATGATTGTATGGCAAAGGTTTCATACAGGTAATAAAATTTCTTTACACCTGGGTACAAACGAGTACCAGTATTGATTAACACAGGTAAGTCTTTTCATTTTGTTAGATGTCTCGTATTAAGATGTGACAATGACTGTTTGATGTAAATCAGTAAAGGTCATCGATACTGTTGACTGTTATCCCATCAAATCCAAATCTCTCCTGCCGTCTAATGATAGGGAAAATATACAGTGTACTGGAGTGTGGACAAAATATGCCTGCAGTATCTCCCCGCATGTCGTAAGAGGTGGGTTATTGACTGAGACACCCCTTGGTTTTGTGGATGTTTTATATTTAGGGAATATGGAAAACCTGAGGAGAGATCTGATGTATTCCACTACATGTATGTATGTGATGACTAAAAGTGGGCGCACTGCACATTCATTTTTTTTTTTTTTTTCGCATTTTCTACTTGGGGGGTATTTAAAAGAGACCAAGAAGATCTATTACTCTCATTTCAACACTTGAGATCTTAGTCTTTGTCTTTCTAATAGGTACCTGTTTTTACTTTTTTTTTTGGCAGTGCCCTTGGTGTCCCCTATGACACTAGTCCTTATTTGACCCTGGCTGTTGCCAGGATGTTAACCCCCATATAAGTGAAACAAACCAACTACCAATAATATTATAAAAGTCTCATATGAACTTGATTTATGTTTGTAGATGGTTGGTTGCAGTAAAAAATAAAAAAGTGTTGTTAAAAATTTGTTGATTGATATACTATAAAACAAAATGTTCCTCAAACTCCTCATGGATACTTAATCAGATTTAATTCTTTCATGGACAGTCACCTGTTCATTTTTGTCTAAAACATTTAAAAACAAGAATGAATCAACTGCAATTTAGCAAACCACAAATTGATTTGTACTTCTTTTAATCAAAATATGTGACAACAAAATGGAATTAAAGTCAAACCTGCCTATAGAGGCCACTCAATGGAACAAAGAAAAGTGGCCTTTATACACAGGTTGTCTTTATATACAAGTTCAGTTGCTATAAATTGCATCACATCGGGAACCCAAAAAGCTGTAACATCAAACTGTTAATTTGTGTCAGGCTGTGGAGCTGATATTGGAAATGAAAGCAAAACCATTCCAATCTTTCAGATGTAGAGTGCTTTGATTTTAGTATCAACTTGCAGTGAAAAAACAATAAAGAAAACATGCAGAACACAGGAATTCAATACTGGCAAAAGGTCGGACATTGTGCGATAGCATTAATCAATGTGTTGATTACTCACTTATGACAATTCACACAGTTCCTGGGCAGTAAACCTGCACGTGATAATGACACTTGATTTGACAGTAATTGTGAGGATTTCCTTCCCCAAGGGGGGACTTGATTCAGAGGAACCTAGACCAACTATGTGGGGTACCGCTCAATATTGAACCTAGGGCAACACCACATGCAACATAAACAGTGATTATGTTTTTAGTGGACCAGTTAAATCTTGGTTTTGATTAATGTTTTAAAAATTTTTATGTGTTTATTCTTGGTGATTGATTCAATTCCATTTTACAAGAATTAATCAGAAATATTGTAATTACTCATAACTTTTGATTATTTACATAACAGCGGTGTATGCTCTTTGAAGTTTTTAAAAGGGCATGTTTATGTAATGGAAGTTTGAATTTCAAGCTGTTAAAACTGATATATCTTATCGTATGTAAAATATCACTTATAATTTGTCACATTGTGAAAAACATCGCCACACAAGGCAAAATTTTCATTGAAGTTATCTTTTCTTAACAGCAAGTCATGTTACATCAGAAAGTTATCTTCCCCTGAAAGAAAAATTTGTGACAATGGAGAGTTATCTTCTCCTGAAAGAAAGTCTGGTTATTCACTGTTAGAAAAAGTGATTCTGAGAGAGCAACCAAAGTGTGATGGGTATTATCTTGCGTTGAGACACAACTACAGGTATATTTTTGGTTGTGGTGTACATAGGGACTGCCTGATCTTCTTTGTTTCTTCTGTTCTCTATCTTAAGTGATTCTGTTTCCCTGGATCTCCCAATTTTTCCCCTTGGTCTTAATGTGCCTTTCCCTCCAAAAGTATTTCCTCCTTGGTTCTATCAAAGCCTCCAAGGAAATTGCTTCAGGTTCAGGTGTGGCCTACCTTTTTAGGGAATTATCTCCCTTGGTGAAATTTCCCTCTTCCCTTTTCCTGTTGTTCATTTTCTCTCATTTTAATAATTTTTTCTGTAGAAATGCAACTTTTTTTAACAATTAGGTCATGATCCTGTTGTACTGAAAAAATCTTTCTTAAAAAAAACTGTTGGAATAATTCCTTATATATTTTGCTTCTCGATGAAAGACACAGAATATTTTTGTGTACAGCAATTTGGAAATGGCTAGCACCAGGGTACTAATTATACACAAAGACAATCGGTTTAGTAGCCATGAGTTATGGGTTGATAGTCAATTCAGTGTATTGTATCAAGTCTTAGTGATAAAAACTGTTTACCGTTAATATTGAATCTGATAAAATTCTTGTAAGATTTAATCTGGATGAATTAAGTTCCATGTGCTCTGACTCCTACAAAAAGACAGATGGCAAGATACTAATGGAGCATGACAGATAATCAGCCATCTTTTATGTAGCAAATATCAAATTCTTAAGCTTCATGGCTTTAACAGGATTTCAACTATGACTAAATGATTTAAATGTCAATAATAGTTTAATTTAAATAAGCATGTCTTACCTTAGAGCTTAATTCTATTTAAATTCTCACACCATAGTATCAACTATTGATGATATATATGTATATAGCAGTGTAAAATTACAAATAATTTAATTACTGATATATACTGTAAAATCATGTATTTCAGTGGGACTAAAAATTTTGTGGTTTTCCAAAAATATACTTTTTTGGTGGAACTTAATTTCATGGTTAAATCCTGCCCACCAAATGTGTAACTTTTAACCTTTTCATGGACATGTAAATTTCTAGATTCTAGTGTACCCACTAATTCTATGAAAATAAATTCCCCAAAAATTAATGAAACAATTTTTTGGTATCAAGAAAGAAAAGTCATATAATGGTCTTGCTTAGTTGTTATATCTTTTACTTACAAATTGATAATGATGTAGAGAAAAACAAAGGATATTCCTAAGTCTGTTGATAAACAAATGAAGTCCAATATCAGTAATACCCCCTCCACCCCAAACCCGCCCCCTAGCTTATTATTGGTGTTTTATTCTTTCAATAAGTATAAAACATAAAATTACATCTATGAGTATGTAGAACTATAAGATAATGACATTTTCCACTTGTTGTGGACAGGACAAGATGGTGGTACCAGATCTATTCAGTAAGGCCGAGGGGTCAAATTTACACAAAATGTGACCCGTAGTTTGGGATGGGCTTATTTGTTGACTTTTTAAATATCATCTGCATAAGATGTGGGTGGGCTTATTGTCGAAAATTGCTGTTATTTCACGGTAAGCGTGGCAATACTTTATGCCCCATAGACCAATATAAACACTACATAATTAATCTATAGGTACAGTGTAAGTTAAGAAAGGTCATAGAGTGCAGAAATCGGCAGCTTGGACAGAGAGATATTGGGTGCTAAATAAAAAGCAATATGTTGTTCTGTTTGTGTGAGAACGTATCTGTTTCTGTAGTGCTGTGGGAAAGATTACAAACAAGATATTTCTTCTTAGAAATGGATTAATAGTGTAAGTGTAATGATACACAGACATAAAAGTGTATATCACCTGTATATTGTTTTAAGTTTCCAAACTGAAGCCATATAGGCTTACAGTTAAAAAGTCGTGCTTGCTGTACCAGCAGATTGGAATCGTCAGTTTGGGTATATGTAATACACTAATTAGACTGTTTTGATTGGTGGAGACCAATTAGCTTGTACATGCCTTTGTTTACAATTTTTTTTTTTTTGGTCCTGCTGCCAAAATATTTTGGTTAGATAAACAAATATACCCAATTAAAGTGAGACACATATATTCTAGTCCAAGTGAGTCATTATTCACACTAAAATATTCTTTGTTTTTAGTTTGTTATTAGAAGAATTTATTGAACAAATATTGTAAATGGGTCTCTTGGATTGGTACAAATTTTTATCTAGAGAGATATTTCAACAAAACAGAGCAGAACATTTATTATTTCATGAATGGCAGATGGGTTACCTCCCTTCCTCCAGTTTTCCTAGTGTGTTTGAAACCTATTAGTTTTGAGTCAAAATTCAGTCATAGTTTATGTAGTGTATGCATTAGCAGTGTCTTCAAAATATTTTAATGTTTCAAGGCTGAAACCAATTTACTCTGATGTTGATGTGTAATGTAGGTACATTATCAAAATAATGTGTTCATTCTATAGCTGAGTTCTGTACACTGATTCATACAATTTAAAGCACAAGGTTTTAATCTGTTTATTACTGAGGAATGTTAAATTGGTTTACTTGCTGCCTAAACTTTTGTTTGAATATATATGATCAGCAAGTTTATAATATATGAGCATTGTATTACATACATACATGTACACTTTTAGTAAGTAAGAATTGAAGGCATAGACATCTTTGATCTCTCATCAGAACGGTTTCTGATCTTTCATTTTGTTTGAGGTAACTTAGGCATATTAATTTATATTAGATTGATTGGCTGATCTCTTGTGCTGTTGACTTGTGACTGAAAGATTGATGAGATTGGTTTTTGGGTTGAAGGATAAAGGTATTCATGTCTGTGAAATGATCATACATGTATAAGACTTTTGTTTCACAGATCACTGTCTTTTTATTTTTAGGGACACAACTTCCTCAGATACAACCCCGCCGTCCTCACCTACGTCCACACGGCGAGCCAGAATCACTGGAGACAATGTATTTTCCCGCCTGACCAGTAATACCCAGCCTCCCTCCATCAACCCTCCAAACAGGTATAGATACACCCAATCAAAAACGCTGTTACATATAATATTTAATTTCATTCCACAAATCCAGCATACATGTGCCAATTTAGCCAATCAAATATCCTGTTTGAAATAACACCCTAGCTGCCTCCCTTTGTCAACCATTCAAACAGGTGAAAATTCAGCCAATTAGTTCTGATGTTACATCTGACACCCAGCCTTTCCAATTAGATTTGTTGTCTCCTTCCCTTCCAACAGGTATGATCTGCCAATCAGGCAATTTGTTACATTTACACCTAGCTTCAAAGCAAGTCCTAATAAATCCTTTTTGAAATGTTGATACATCAATAAAAGATATAATAATCTAAAAATGGGAGTTTTACAATGAGACTTCGAGTCCAGAACTTCAGTACATCACCACTACAAGAGCATTTGTTATGTTTCCCAGGGGAAGTATTGTGCCTAACAACGGTCGGATTGCACCGCCCAGCAAGGTCAGCCCAGTATTGTGTACACACACAGCTGAAGGTCACACCAAGGCTATCCTATGTGTGGATGCAACAGAGGACCTGCTCTTTACCAGCAGTAAAGGTACGACCATGGATGGATTTCATCTCATATTCTATAGAGAATTGTAATTCGTGCTTGCTTCATATGCAAAATTTCATATATTGATGATCTTGGATATTTAAGTGTGAGATGACAAGTATATTCATTTTTGTGAAATTAATCAACGATTTATTACAGATTTTACCAATCAGCTAGAGAGTTCTGTCCCATTAATTACAAAATAAGTAAATCATTCTTTTTTATAACATTGAAAAAAGTGCTGAAAAGCTACAGAATTTTGGGATGTTTTTATATAGCATTCCAATGGTGTATTTTATATTTTAGATCGCACAGCAAAAGTGTGGGACCTCCAGACAGGACGTGAAGTATTGTCCCTTGGTGGACATCCCAACAATGTCCTTCGTGTCAAGTACTGTGAACAACAGCGTCTTGTCTTCACTGTGTCCCAGTCCTATATCAATGTTTGGGATATACGCACTAGTCCTGCCCAGTGTGTCAAAACTCTAAGGTAAGTGAAATGCTGTCTTACATCCACAGTCTTATATAATATGAAGTATGGGACATCCACACCTGTTCCGCCCAGTGTGTCAAAATTGATGTAGGTGCACTGCTGTTTAGCATTCATTCAGTTCTATATCCATATTTAAGACATCTGCACCAATTCTCTTCTGATGTGTCAACACTCAGAGGTATATCAGAATTGCTGTCTTTTATGGTGTATCTGTTCTTTGTCAATGTCTAGGATATCAACACCAGTCCAACATTGTGTTTCAAAACAATTTTATAAAAACTGCTTCCTTGTCTTCATATTGTCCCAATCCTATATCAACAAGTGTGAAATCCACATTGTCCCAGTCCTATATCAACATGTGGGACTAATAGAATCTTCCCCTACCCTGAGGGTGTGATAGAGAAATCTCCAACCCGAGGGGTGATTTTTTTTGTAGTCTAACCCGATGCTCTGCCGAGGGTTAGACTACAAAAAAATCACCCCGAGGGTTGGAGATTTCTCTGTCACATCCTCTGAGGTTAGGGGTTGATTATTTTTCTCCCACCCCATTATTTCTGCCACGACGTAAAAAAAAAAAAATCCCATGGTACAAGTGTCTGAATGGCGCATGAATATCACCATTCAAGTTTCCAAAATTCTACATTCTTCCGCAAGAGCAAAAATGACATATTAATTTTTTTGGAAATTAAATATTTTAATTAGAGATAGATACATGGAAATACTTGTATTGAACAACATTTAACTCTGTATCATTTATTAAGGTAGGGTAGGCTAGCCGCGATGTCATGGACAAAAAGGGGATTTCCCAGTTTGTAATGACGTCAATTGTTTATGCGCGCGAAAAATTGCAATGGTGTGAGTGTCACGCGTGTGTTCATTCAGAATCAGAGTCATAGATGATCCTCCGATGTTTATTTGTGTTCACTGGACAAGGATTGATACAGTTAATGTTAACTGTGATGTTACAGTCGCGCATTACGGAACCTGCAAACAAAGCATCCACTCATTGGTTTGAGTCAGTTGTGATAGCCGACTGAGGTCACCGAGTGCAGTCATGTGGGGTAGATTTATCCTCCATGGGTGTTCCACATGGGACATGTCTATCCTACATGGGCAGAGGTGGGAGAAATCCATATTGTCCCAGTCCATTATCAACATGTGGGACATCAACAATGTCCCAGTCCTGTATCAACATGTGGGACATCAACAATGTCCCAGTCCTATATCAACATGTGGGACATCAACAATGTCCCAGTCCTATATCAACATGTGGGACATCAACAATGTCCCAGTCCTATATCAACACTTTGGACATCCATATTGTCCCAGTTCAGTAACAATATTTTTGACATCCATCAATCCCTAGTTGTTGACCAAAAGACTTGATAACTACTGTGTCAAAGTCTACATCAAAATGACAATATTTTGTATAGGGTAATTTACCTGTAGTTACTTGAGGACAAGAAATGCAAAATGAAATATCTAGGCAAGATATTATCTGTATATGCCCTCTCGACCATGATAAGTAGGATAGAAATTGTGTAAACCTCTGTTTATTGTTATGTACTCTCACTCTCTGTTGCAGTTCTTCTGGTCTTACGGATGATGGACCTGTTAACTTTGCTTCACAACGTCAGATAGAACTGCCCCCTGGTGAGCACAACATCACAGACATTGCCCTCAATAGGGATGGAACGGCTCTATACAGTGCAGCAGGAAGTGTGGTCAGAGTGTGGGACCTTAAAAGGTATGTAGTCTGGCTGACAAAGGGTAGTCAGGGTGTGTGACCTTAAAAGGTCTGTAGTCTGGCTGACAAAGGGTAGTCAGGGTGTAGGACCTAAAAAGGTCTGTAGTCTGGCTGACAAAGGGTAGTCAGGGTGTGCAACCTCAAAAGGTCTGTAGTCTGGCTGACAAAGGGTAGTCAGGGTGTAGGACCTTAAAAGGTCTGTAGTCTGGCTGACAAAGGGTAGTCAGGGTGTAGGACCTTTAAAGGTCTGTAGTCTGGCTGACAAAGGGTAGTCAGGGTGTGCGACATTAAAAGGTCTGTAGTCTGGCTGACAAAGGGTAGTCAGAGTGGAGGACCTTAAAAGGTCTGTAGTCTGGCTGACAAAGGGTAGTCAGAGTGGAGGACCTTAAAAGGTCTGTAGTCTGGCTGACAAAGGGTAGTCAGGGTGTGCGACATTAAAAGGTCTGTAGTCTGGCTGACAAAGGGTAGTCAGAGTGGAGGACCTTAAAAGGTCTGTAGTCTGGCTGACAAAGGGTAGTCAGAGTGGAGGACCTTAAAAGGTCTGTAGTCTGGCTGACAAAGGGTAAGATTATCAAGTATGAAATGGGGAATAATAATCTGTCAATATAAAGCATGTTGTGCATGAAGTCTATTTAAAAAGGATGGAAATTACTCAACATAGTATGAAAAAACAAAAGCTTCCTAGGTTGAAATTGAAGAGAAATATTACAGAATATATGAGGAATTAAAGTAATTTTCTTTTACTGTGATAATTTTTTTTCCATTACCTATGCATCTACTGAGAACATGTTTGTAGTTCATTCAACATATGACTGATTCAACATTGTTGAAGAGTAACTTTCAATGGGTAATTTAGATATTATTAGTTCATATTTTTGCCTTTTTTCTTAGATAAATTGTTTGAAGGGACAGGAATGATTATTTTCAAGAGGACAGGCATGTGTTCTATGCAATGCATATGTCAGGGAGCTATAGGTTTTAAAGATAATCTTTCTTGTAGAAATTAGGTTTGTCATTCAAGAGTTGTCTCCCCTCTTATTACAGCTTCAGCGCTGTTGGTAAGTTAAACGGTGGCCACCAGGCAGCAGTGATGGTACTGGCAGTAGACAAACAGGGTATCAACGATATGGTCATCACTGGTTCTAAGGATCACTACATCAAGGTACTCAAAATCAAAATTATTATCTTTCAGGGTTAGACAGAAAAATTATCCCATGTACTAATTTCAGCCTTTGCAATAGCCCAATTTCGGTGAAGGTTGTGATAAATATTGGGGGGAAAAAGCAAGGTCAGTGTCAGGTCAATTTTTCAATTGTGAATTAGCAAGCTAGGTAAACATAGGTTGGTCTGCAATAAGTCACTGGGGATGTATGAAGAAACATGATTTGTTAAAATGAGAAAATTTCCAACTTTTGCCCACCCTTTGCTGTGTGGAGATTTTGTCCTGAAAACTAAAACATTCTGCAGACTGAAATCCTTGGCATTTTCTGACTAATGGAACTATGATCAGGATACTCCGATGACGAGGACCATCTTTGTCCCTTCTTATCAAATGTAAGAGTTTGGAACACTCAATGTTTGAAGAGTCAGTACGCTGATACATTAGTCTTTGGAACCCTGTAATCATATCCTTTCATTGTCTTGTTTGTGTCACTTGAAGTTTTGATGGTCAAGTTCCTAAGGCTAAGCAGAAAAATTATAGCATAAAGTTTAAGCTGAAATGATGGCTGTTTTATGGCATATCTGTATTGAATTATGTGCCTTTTTTAAGGTTTTTGAGGTGCTGGAGGAGCGGGCAGGCATCATGGTTCCCAAACATAACCTGGAGCCACCACACTATGATGGAATCCAGTCACTTGCAGTCAATGGCAACACTCTATTTAGTGGGTCACGGGACATGTGTATCAAAAAGTGGGATCTTACAACAAATAAACTCAAACTGGTCAGTATCAAAATGATCTCAAATCAATTTCAAAAGAAATTTCATTATACATATTACAAATTCATAAATATCATTTCAAATGGATGGGTTTTGAAGTAATATGCAAACTGGTCTTTCTTGTTAAAATTCAAACTTGAGTCAGTGAAAATAAGATCAAACAAGTAAGTGTTTTGAAAAAATAAATTGGTAAAATAAAATGATCTTGTAAAAGAAAAAAAATTAAAATGATTGTCATTAAAACAACTTTTTTGGTAATAGTGCTGTTTATGGTACATGTTAGTTTGTCACACCTCACATTTTATCGAAGAAATGCTTGGATGTCTTTTTAAAATGTTGGATTTATCTTCTCAGTCTCTGAACTCGGCCCACAAGGATTGGATTTGTGCCCTAGGCTTCATGCCCAGCAGTGATATTCTGTTGAGTGGCTGTCGTAGTGGCTTTCTTAAGCTCTGGAACGTGGATACATGTCAGGCCCTAGGAGATATCAAGGCCCACATTATGCCCATCAACTCCATAGCAACCAACTCAAACTCGATTTTCACTGCCTCTAAGTAAGTAGTTCAACATAGAAATTGACTTTTAAATATTTGGAAGGATTAAATGATTAATACTTATGGTAGGGGGTAATGAATATCTTGAATCAGGTGAGTCGTAGTTTTAAAGAATATAGTGATCTTAGATACCAACAAAATTTTGCATCAAGAGATATCTGGGATTTTTTTTACATTAAATGGCTTTGCTGTCAATCAGGGATATTACATGGTGATCAGACTTATAGTATGAGTTGAAATTCCACTCTTTAGATAGAACTTTTTATCTTATCTCTTTGTAATTTGTCAAGCTGTTTAGGCAACAACTCATTCTGATCTGTCCCCAATAAACACCATACCCAATCTTCCCCATGGCACAAAATGACTATATAACACATTTTATCTTCCAGTGAACCTGTGGTCAAAATGTGGCAGTACCGTCGCACTCAGACATGTGAATTTGATATATAAATTCTGGCACCTTCAGTAATAATCTTCCCCTCCACTGGCATGGGTCTCGTGGAGTGACCTCCCTTGTACTGCTGTTATCTCCCCTTTGTTTGAGCTGCAGACTTTGTTTTTATTTCACACATTACAAAATTATATATAGATGGTGTTCATGTGACTTGATCCAATCCTTAGCTGTTGTTTCACATGACACATCAGAGTTGTCTGCCCTTGGCTTGTTTTGCATGCTTAATTGTTTAGTTTGAATATGTGGCTATTGTCCTTTAGATTTCACTTTTCACATTCTCTTGTTAACAAATTGATTTGTTTGATGTTTAGCTAGTACAATTAATTCTGTTGTTTCCTGAAATTTCTCTTTTTTTATCTTTTAATACCCTAAATGTTCAATTCTGTTTAATGATATGCAAGGCAATTGTAAGGTTAATATATATATTTAATCAAAAGATTTGTCACTTCCCAAGAAAACCACTCTGCATTTTGATAAATTTGTAGTGAAAATCCTTTACTATTTCAAAACCTAGCGTTGTGTATATTGTCGACATTCTGGCTTATCATCTCCATATTGTTTATTCTTAAATTTTCTGCTCAATTAATAATTGATTAAATAATTATTCAATTATTGTGAAAATATATATGTCATATACTCTAGATTCTGCAGTAGGCAATTAATATACCAAAATGATTCGTTATTGGGTGGAATACAAGGAAAATTTCAAATATTGTTTATACATATAGCTGATTTTAAGGATAAAGCATCATATTTTTCTTAATGTTAATCTGAAATTGTGTTTTGTATGTTGTATCTTGTATCAAAAACTTGTCCATCACATAGCTAGAACAGACACATTAGGAAAAGTACACCGATATATTACCACAGTAATATCCAACCATGTGCACAACACGTGAAGATATATCATATACCCTCCATTAACTGCAAACATTGCTGGACAAAGTTGTTGTAGAATTCTAAATTGTAAGCTGCTGTAATTTAGAAAGATCAGTGGGCTTGTGTTGGTGAATTTTCAAGTTCTCTTACAAAATACCATCTTTTCTTGGCTTCAATGTTCCAATGTTTGTCTCTGATACGGAATCTGCTTGGCTTCCTTGAACTTTCCAAAGCTTTTTTTCCTTTCCATTAGTTTCAGTGTTCAGTGTTTTTCTTTCATTTTTATAATATTTATATTTGTTTTATTTGTTGATTTTTGTGTTGCTTATTTTGTTTATTTACTTACTTTTTGTTGCTTTTTTCCTCCACCTTAGTGACCACACTGTGGGAATCTGGAAACTTAAATCGCTCTCCGACTCCAGTGATTCCAGTACAGCAGTCACACCGACAGAAACCCTGGCGGTCGACAAGTAAACACAATAAATCACTGGCACCATCTAGTGTGAAAATTTACAACAGCACCGCAGGAACCAAGTCATCAGGTGCGAAAATTGACAGTGAATTTTCATCAAAAAGGTCAACAGAACTGAAAAATGTCAACAACAGAGACATTAAAAATGGCTTTATAACCCGGAGATTTCACCAGATTTTTTGACACAAGATTTCTATTTAAACAGATTTCCATGACTGGTAACACTTTGATTTGTTGCCTTGAGTGTTTGCAGACTGACAGGAATACTTGCTGCTGAAATGAAAGGTTATAGTTGATAGGTGAAAGTTTTTTTGTTTTTTTGCATAATCATGTATTAAAACTGAGATAAAAAAACATTCATGATTAATTTAAATCACCTGCTCTCACAATTTTCGAAGCTAATTTAGATACATTTTTCAGGCTGAAGGACTGTTAAATGAATGGAAGGTTGATTTTGTAAAAACTGCAATGATATGGCATTAATGTTTTTAAGAGTGAATCTCTAATTGATAACTACTGATTTGTTCGTTGATGTTAGTGTGATGTGCTTAGTCGTGTATGTGGTCATTTATATCAAGTTGTAAACATAAGCACCGCAAATGAATTGACCTGCGTGCACAAAAATTTTTATCAGTTTCACAAACATGCCACTATTGTTGTACTTAAGATGATAACCAAAATGCAGCATTTCTTGAAAATTATTAAAATGATTGTTTAACTGTTGCACAATGTGAACAGATAGCAATGTTGTTGACTTGTACAATAATATTCACAAATTGTACCGAATTTAGAGAACACGTTTATGTCTGTATCATGTATGTCTGTCTGGAAGAGAAGTGTGTGTGAATGTGTGCATTTTTTTTTTTTGTCCACAGAAATGGAGAACAAATTTCTCCTTTAACATTTATCATCTGTGCTTGAATTAAACGGGTCTTTACTCTTTGTCAGTAAGGGCTTTCGCTCTTTATTACAGACATATTTCATATCTTATATCAAAAAACATTTTTTCTTGTATATACTTTGACGGCACATTGAATTTGACGCCCAATGTGATGTAACATGTTGGTGAATATGTTTGTGTAACATTGTGAAGAAGGAGGTATTTCTTCACCATTCATTGCTGTGGTAAGAAACGTCGACAATCTATATAATTACGGTTGTGAAATCTTTGTAAGATTACTGGTATGTTGCATGCGCTTGTCTCGTTCAGATTGAGGTGAAACTGTTGTTATTTATGTTGATGGACATTTTTTATTACATGTTTGCCAAAACTTGTTTTGTTATTAGCTGTAAAAGGCACTTTTTGAATGAAAATTCTGTTGAAATTTGTGGGTTTTCTCAGTGCTTGAAAATTTCAACTTTTGAATAAAATACTAGCAGATTTGTCATATTTAAATGTGGAGTATTTTGATAAACAATAAGTTTGAACATTTAAGGATAAAATATTACCAGAATATAAACCATTCATATGAATTTGTACATTAGAAACAAATTTTCACAAAAACATTTATTAGGTTTAGATAGGAAATCAATATGTAATATTAAACTTCAACTTTACTACCTTTCCTGGTTGGAGAGATCTCAGGGGAGATAACTAGGGCTGGTTAAAGGGTTAAGATAAATTTCCGTCAATGTATTAATGTCATTTACAATAGAAAATTAGGGGTTACTTGTCATTTATAATTTTTTCTTTTAACTGGTCAATTAAGATTAAAATAGCTTTTAGACACGAAACACTTCAACATGGTTTCTCGATTGTCCTAAAAAGGAAATCTTGTTATTCAGCTGTTTGTGGGGTTTGTACCTATCTAAAAAGGGATAAAACTGATAAGGTATATATTAAAGGGCAGACAACAGAAATATTTTGTAAAAGTCACTTCTTGAAAGCTGGATATGGTGATATCATATTTGGCATTATGCAAATTATTTCTTGTTTCCAAAAAACATTGATTTCTAGTGAATTTTTTGAAGGAAGGAATTTTTTGTATACTATTTTGTTTTGTACAGTCAGTGTTATAGTGAAGGATTTATTAAGTGCTATTTCTCAAAATTGATTAGATAATTTTACTTTTTAATTTGCATATGTCCTATAAATATGACATGATCTGTATATTTGTATGTATATATATATATGAGTATATTTAATAATTGTTTTTGCTTTTGTATATATGATTTGAAAATATTTGCTGATGATGTGTGCTGTATATTTTAAAAGCACCTGAGATGGGTGTAAATGAATGTTATATATCCCAGTGTTGGTATATATAGCACTACAACTTCCGATAAGCAACTGTGATGCCAAAGTCATATTAAGCTATATGCTGTTTCCGTATAGCTTTGTGGTGATGTTCCTCAAAATTGTTTTGCTCATTGTTATTGCCAAGACATAGTACCAAGTCACATTGTCAACTTGCTTTGGTGCCATGTTGATGAAATTTAATGGTGCCAGGTCATGGCGTTTTATCATGGAATCAGAGAATCAAGAGTACTTAGCTGATCCATGTAAAAGGACCAAGCCATGGTGCTGAGTCATGGTGCCAGGTTATGGGGCCAATCCTTGATGATAAGCCATGGTGCTAAATTATGGAATTAAGCCATGGTGCTGAGCCATGGAATCATATTAGGTCTGTTAACACACTTCATATGTATTTTTTTTATCATTCCATAAAATATAACTGTATGATGATCCCTCTGTTCACTTGGATGTCAGCATGGTATTCAATATGATAAAATTTCACCTACCTTTACAGTTAGCATTTCCAGTCAATAGGACCTATTTCTGAAGCTGTAATCAGTTTTGAAATAATTATGTTCTGTATACATGTTTTACTATGTAATGCTTGCTACCAAGAATAACTGTCAGAAAAGATTCATACGATGGACATGTACATTGTTTCATACAGGAAGTCAAGTCAGGGGAGCAACACATTACCTCTGACTCAAAGTCAGGGGTGGGCTTATTACAGATCATTGCGATAAGAAATGCCTATTGGTAGTTCTACTGAACAGTGTTAGATATTGGTGGGTAATGCTTAATTTGATTAACTTGAAAATTGTGTCCTATATACTTGGACAATGTAGATATTAGAAAGTTGATTGGAAAAGTCTGGACAAGGTAAATTAGACATCTAAACTTTGTTTATTGAATCTGGCAGTAGGTCTGAGTTTGAATGTATGTTTTTTTAATCTTCTGTCAAAATAGGAATATCTTCCAACCATTTTCTGTTGAATGGAAAATTATTGTTATTGACTCAGAGATATGATAGCTTAAGGCTCATTATACTGAAAATAGAATCCAACAATTTATTCATATCAACACAATGCACGTGGTTTCTGCTTTTTACAGACACAAATTTCATACCAAAGAAACTAAACTCCAACGAGGATAAGTAGAAGCTTTTCATCATGAAAGTAGGTTAAAAATACTGACATCTTAAAACATTGAAGTTACAGTATTGCAATATTTTCATAGTTGGATGTTTAATAGAGTAAATCTTAATTTGCAATTATTGTCCAACATTCATTATCTATACACATCTTGCCTTGTAAGATGAGGGCATTCCTTTTAATTGTTTGGAATGCAGATCTGTTACCAAAATGCCATTCTACAACTCAGAAACATGATTCCATCTTCTTAATACTCGAGATAAGACAGTCATAAACTCTCGTCATTGAATTTTGAAAACAATATCGGATAACTTTTTAAGTGAAGACTCAACACTAAAGATGCCTAAATACAGCATTTCATTTACTGATGAATGACGTAATTATCTGACTACAAGACTATTGGAAACAGGGTTAAGTTTCATAATGTGTTCACAAAAGTAAATTTGTCTCAAATTGTCCATTTTTTCTATGGAGTAGATCTCAGCATGTACCATCGGTATATTTTAGTAGAAATTGGTTAATCTCCATTAGTGTCTCTAACACGGATGCCGTTGCTGGACTTGTGTAGTGCATTATCACAAGACCAGGATATATCTAACATATTTTATTCTATCTATAGCTGAATGGGTTTTCAGTCATATGAGACAAGCAGAAAATTGTTCTGTTGTGCTTCCATTGTTGATATTTATGTTATCACATTCCGTGTTGATCTGTTTTATATTTCCCAAGTACCATGCAGCATTTAATTATACTGTTTAATATGAGATATTTGTCAACACTATCTTTTTCCATAGTTCGAACCTACATTCTTTCAGGATTTAAACTTTAATTGTTACTAGATAACTGTACACAAAATTCTTCAAGTTGAAGTCTTATTCGTTGCATTTTATTTACATGTTTTGTCCATAGGGAAAAAATGGTAATAATAATAGATAAGATGAAATAAAACTGCTTAAAAATATCTCATGTTATACTTACCAAGGTCATCCACAAGGAAAGGTCAGTTGATCTCTTCAGGCGATCCTATTTGACTTTAGACAGATTAAAGAGAGGAAAGACCAATTTTTGTTTTTGTTGATGCAAGCAATTCCAATTTTTAGATTGAATACACATTGAAACGTCATATATTACTTGAGACATAAACAAAATCCAGAGCTGAAACTGTTTTCATTCCATTTATGGACAATATTTGTATATTGTTTGTTTTTTTCTCTCTATCTCTTAAAGTGTCCAGGTTTAATGAGGTTACGCTGTATGTTCTATATCGTTTGTATGAAGATGGTTGAGTTATCTCCCTTATACGGTTGAGTTACCTCCTCTCTATGCTGTACATATTACCTGTTGATTTGTTGTTAACGTTGATTGTTCTGCAACGGCTGCAATGTTTGTTTGTCTCAAAATGATGACTTATGCTGCCATTTAATATATACATGTATAGCCCTTTATTATACACGCCGCAAAGAAATATTCCAAAACTGTGCTCAGTAATTAAGTATTTTAATGATATATATTTCATTTTTTATAAATCATCTGTTTTCATTAGTCATATTTTTTTTTCTTCAAAAGATGTATTCAATCATTAGACAACTGCAGAGTACTGCAAAGAGGATTGGTTTAGTGGCCAAAATATAATCTTTAAACATCCATCATTTGTACATGTAGTTATCATTAAATATGAAAGTAAAATCACTAGTCGAAACAATATATACAATACTTCTATATTATATAGTTTACCACAGTATATCATGTCTCACCAGATGCTCTTCTTTGAATTCTTTTCATTCAACGATTTGAAAAAGAAATTAACAACGTACCAAAATTTGAAAGATTATTAATTGTCCTTTCCATGATTCAGCATTGAAAGTAAAAAATGCTGAAAACCTCTCTAATGTCTCATTAATTTCATACTTTGATGGCGTCTTCATCATCACTTTGTCTCATTAGGTATTATACAAGGGATCTAGAGTTATCTGCCCTTGTTGTCAGGGACAATAACAGTAATTTAAATTATTTAATGGCACAAACTATGTATGTTACATGCTGTCCAGTGGTATGCAATGTGTATGTCATTTGGAAAATAAATGTATATTTTTCAAGTTATGTTGTTTCATTTTTTTGCTTTTGTTTTTGTTTTTAAACCTTTTCCATTATCAACGTAAAATATAAATACTTATATCACAAATAACATAGCAAAAATCTCGTGTATATTGTTACTCGACCTCTGCATCGATAAATAATAAAATGAAATCTGACGGTGATTGGAGAATGGCAGCTGCAGTTGAGAACCTGAACAATAATAGTGACTAGTGGCAATGGCAAGAACTCGTCTGGATTGTAACCGACGTAGGCTTAGACTGTCCGCTGAGCGAACATGTTAAGTGTAGTAATTGGGGAAAATTCCAAATACACTGCTTCACCATAACTATTCAGTTGGCAGCAAATAAAGTCTAAATTAAAAAAAAAAAAAACATTAGTGATAGGCACATTAGATGCATGGACCAGAGACAGATCACAACACCGAAACAGCTCTATTTCCTCATGCACAGGCACGATACAGACTTGACGAAATTTACTGAATTATGGAGCTTGTGAATGTCCCGATCTAGATTTTGACTTTTTTCGATTGCTTTGGATTTTCACTCAATCGCTTCTAAGGTTTAATATTTCGACCCTTAGCATTACCGATGAGTCCTAGAAGGACGAAACATCTGTATGATGCAGTTTAATTCATTGTTTGGCTGTGTTGTATCTTATCTAATTAGTCCTCTATGGTGCTATTCACCTGTGTCTTTTATACAATGTTTGAAAATGAAGATGGAGATGCAGTTACTTTAGCCCGATCTAATGGATGCCAACACATTCATGACGCGTATCTATCGCCGTCTGGATCAACACTATTCGGTGCATTACGACCCCTGTAGAACATTAACAGGTCAAGGATTCTAGCGCTGGAGATCGAATGGACTTGTATCCGAACAAGGTTATTGCTTTTTTATATCTCTTCTGTCCATTACAGTATTTACCATAATACACAGTTGCCCAAATAGCCGGCATCATATCCAGGCATTTCAACGACGGAATGCTTGCCAATGACAAATAGGCCAAAGAAACTCATCAACCAATACAATCGCTGGAAAGACTTCCCGAAAGACGAGGCTCAACCAAACTGGGATATTAAGACACAGGAGCCAGTGCAGCAGAAACCCCTTACACTCCCTTCTCCAAAGAAACCCAAAGCAAATATCTCCTAAACCGAGAACAGAAAATTCATCTTTCCAGTGGACGAGACATGTATTTCCATCATTAGACGACACTGGATTAACTGTAGTGGTACTGCTCTCTGATACAAATTTTGTATTGGATACTTTTGACCCAAATAAACTGATTAACACAGCTGTTTCATCCTTTTAGGTCTCGTCAGTGATTCTAAAGACCTGAATTTTGAAATCTAGAAAATCTGAGGAAAGTTCCAAGTGATCGAAAGAAAAGTCAAAGCCTAGACGGAGAGATGTACTAGCCCGATGATTCAATCAATTTTGTAATTTCATAAAAATAAAACTAAAAATAAAAATAAAAAAATCTCGGGGACTGAAAAATCTACAAACAGTGTCTACCAACTGCAATCTTAAAGATTGTGCGAAAGAAACACATGTGAATAGGACATTCTAATTCATTTTTTGAATAGGATACAGCAGCGACTAAGGTGTGCACATTGTTTACTATGAAGGTAAATCAACACCCGTTTAGTAGATAGCTTTTATTTCCCGTATTGATAAGATAGCATAGAACTATATTAACTCAATCTTGAAAGAGTTGAATGTACGATAAATTAATATCTACAATTAGGGACGTATGTATGAAAATGACCTTAAATGTCGTTAAAAATTCATAAAATTTAGTAATTGTAGCTGAAAAGATCAATTTAGGTGTACATCATTTTTTTTTTATTAAATGGGCGAACTGTAATGCAACTTTGAACATATTCTAAAACGTGTGCCAGTGAGAGGTTTCGATCGTCTTGTCCACGTTATTCCATGTCGATCTGATTAATATGTTTTCTGACTGTATTGACAATATGAAAACACCTATTATACGCTAACAATATGGTTTTAAACCCTTCTGGATTAATTTGCTCCCCTTATCTGATAACGCTTGTCTTGCTACATCAAGTTTATTCGTGTTTGTATGTGGACGAATATAGCGATAAGCTTAAGAGGACTGGTGAGAACTTTAAAACTGATATCAATGTGTTTTACGTGATTTGTATAATGGTATATAATAAATTATCAAATGAAACATAACAAAGGAAACCCTGCTTAAGTCAGTAACCATATGAACTCCACTGAAGCATAATTTATTGTCGAAGTAAGTTTCAGATGTCATCTTCGATTGTGAAAGAGTGTAATCTTTGAGATTAAGAGTAGAGACATTTTAGGCAAAGACAGCTGGAGTGCCGGTGTTTCAAATTAATTGGCTGATTAGAGAGCGGTGTCAGTGTGGTGTAAACAGAGCGGAAGTCCAGTGAGGTGTTGTGGATGTTTACTGTTTTAGATTAGTTAATAGACTTGATTCTTTTAAGGTTGACAGTTAATTATTAGGAAATTACAGAAAGTGATTACAGAAACTAGACAGTGTTGTGGGAACAGTGTGGTGTGTTGTCGTTGAGGTAAACCACGGTAAGTAATGGATGATCGAGTTGTGAGAAGAGAGTTGGTGGATGGACACCTGAGAGTGGACATGAGACTGCTATCTGAGAGTTGCAGACCTACATAGAGATGCGTGTAAATAATGTAAATAAACTGGAAATAAAAAATATGAAGTTATTGTGAATAAGTAAACCAGTGTCAAAGGTAGCTCCGCCACTCGATCATCCATAGCGATTTCTTTTAAGAAATGGTATTTTCCCAGATGTTCGTGTAAACAATTAACGAATTAACAATTAAGAATGATTTATCATGATGGCTTGACAAGAGTAAGGGGTATTTTTTTATACTTTCCACCGAGGACATCTTGCTTCCGGAAAGGAGGTGTCAGTTTTATACAGACAAATAAATGCTCCATTAAATATTTACCAATGAAAGACCGGACAGGCCGCGAACACGGAGAGCATTCAGTTTGAACGGACGAGGCGTTACTCGATGTTTAATGACTAAACCAGTAGATTTATTCCCTCCCACGTGAAAATCTGGAGTCACGCGATGCTTCGTTGATACACGGAGGAGAGAGAAAACTAGTGTTATTTAGGAAAATAGTCAAACAAGGGTTAGTTTTACGATGCTTCTTGCATACTTAATTGCTCTTGCAAATTGTTTTGTGGTTCGAGGCGTTCGGTTGCCGTCCATTAAGTAATATTAACTTCTGCAATTATTCTGAGGAAAGGCAAATCAAAAGTCATTACAATTTGAATAAATAAAGGACAAAACCGGAACTCGATATGATACATGAAAGCAGCAGGAACTGAGGAGACATCACGAACTGTAGAATGTAATCAAACTAGGTGTTCGGGATGGGCAATGTTCAATCACAAAAAGTTGTTTCTGTTTTAATGTCTACTGCTCAATCTAGAAAAGAATTCAGAGTATCATAGTGTCATATAAAGCCGGTGGAAAAGTCTTAAATTATCGGAGATCTGTGAAATTTCTCTAAGTGTGCTAGTGGCAAAGCAAAGTATGGTAATTGGATAATATCTCTAGTAGGAGAAATACAACTATTAATTTCAAAATTTGGAGATATTTTGATGTGACAGATGACGGAAGACGTCTATGTTGGTCAATAGCTCACCAGTGATGTGTAACCTGACCTTAAGCTTTACCCCAGTGTCTACATAACTGTTTCCTTTGGAATCAGTTTTTAGTTCGACCTTATCTCTTTAAAGATCCCAATCCCATGGTCCGTATAAAGGTATTGTACGTGAAATGAGGGGGTTAATTCCTTATAATCTCATGTACACATGTATATCGTTAAGTTCGTCATCGGAAAAAGAAATGCCATATTTCAATATGTGTTCAGTCGACGATTTTGGACAAATTTTAGGAAAATTATGACCTTACGAATTTAAATATCTTTGTCGGTTTTGGTAGATCGACATACCTTTTCACAAGAGTTTTCGTCTCGACTCGATTTTTTTTTGTACCGCATTCACTTACTATCACTGCGCGTACGATGTTGTTACGATCCGTTTGTTTGCTAAAAGATTAAAAATATATAATCTTCAAATAATGCAGGACAGATTGTACACAAAGAATGACACTTTACAACACGAACTGACGTACATATAGTACATGCCGCTGTTGTTTAACTTGTTCTCATTTGGAAACGTGACATTACTTGGATTAAAAAATATTTACATGGTGGGTGTCATCAATGAAGCAGAAGGCGCTTACACTTTATCAGCAGAAATGGAATCAGGAAAATTGACACTGACATAAACAGACAAAAGATAAAATCAAAGTCACGTCAAAAAGAAAATAGAAACATGTCAACAGAACGTGACTTTATTTACTTGGATTGACCGAGATATATATGGTTATGTCGTCGATAAAACAGTAGACGCTTATCCTTATGGAATATCTGGTCATTTCTGGTACTTTTTCAAGGTGAATATTTCCTTTTAGTCAGATTTAGCTGAAGTCTTGAAAAAATACTTCAGAATCGATCTGTATCTTTCAATTTAATGTCTTGTTAGCATATTCATGGTTATATAGAATCTATCTAAAGTTCTCAAATATATATAAATATATTCAATTCTACATATACATGTGTATGTTATAATCATTTATATACATGTTTGTATTTAATGCAGTTGCTGCTCACAATTCCTGTTATTCCTATTCAATTAAATGTCATATAAGCTCAAAACCCTTTGATTTAGCTTTAAATTCACCGTTTTTATGTAGCTGACTCATAAATTGTTTGACTGTCGCCTTTTAATTTTTTTCCTAATGATTGCTAACGATTCATAGCATTAAAATGAAAGATAGGTAACCGGTATCATTAGATGATGTATTATTTTACAGTTTCTAAACACTCTTCAATACAGCAAGATTATGATGTCCTGTAAATTTCATTAACTTAAGGTATATTTCTACATATTACATGTAAGAGAGGTATATTCTCCATGCCGTCTACTGAAGGTAACTACAAAGTGGGTTTAATTCCTAGTTAATTCTACCACGGTGTATTAAAGCAATGTCGATTTAATTACCTACAAGCCGCGAGTATTTCACACCACTATAAGTCCTTATAGGTATATATCATAGGTCGAGTTTTGTTTACATTCGCTATGACGATGACGTTTCCAATCGCTGACGGTCTGTCGGACAATACACTACCGAGCACTGTCCTAATAGTCTTCTTTAAACATACGTGTATGATTCGCATTGTAAATACCACAGGACTGCGTTACTTCTTCTCAGAGTTAAAACATTGATTAACACCTGTGACTAGTTTGAGTCTCCTATCTGTTTCAGTAAAATCCTCTGGATATCGGTGCTAACACGGAGACCGATTATAGGCTTTTTCACCCCTCTATAGTGATACAGTGGGATATCGATATTCATTAGTAAAACGTATATGTGCTAAAGTGGAGCGAGCGTGTATAAGACTGACTCTTCGGTAGAAACACACCTGCATTTACAGGTAAGTTTGCACACCTATTTTGCTTTCCGCTTGAGAAATTGTTTTAAATTTTTCATGTCATAGATTCATAAATTTTAGATTCTTGCTTACGATGTTGTTAACAGTTATGGTTGCTACTGGAAATCCATCAGGTACACGTAAACTTGATCTTTGCCTGTCCTTAATGAAAACCTGTCGCTGTATATACTTTGTATACGTTAAGATCTGAATACCAGGGCATTTTGTCAATCATAACGCCTTTTTTATGTTGTATTACATCGACATTTCGGACAGTGTGGCATACAGACATATATTGTAGTTAATGTGACCTGGATAACTTTCTGATTGGGATCAGAAGTCTTTAGTGAATATTAATTCATGACCTAATTCCATGAAACCTTAAACTAATGCCATAGAGTCTAATATATCGTTACATATCATATATACGTAACAGATTTAGTGTTAGGGATCGAACCTGTGACCTCTTGATGACTTGTTTTAAATATGTACCTCATATATAACCTTAAAGATAGCTGAGACAGTAGAAAGAGGCTAGTACCTTATTACGAAGAAAATATGTCTAGACATGAAAGACATAAAAGTCATACATTGTGCTTATGCATGGAAAAAATGTGACTAGATATAAAAAGACGACACAAGTTAGAATTGCTGTTAGGCCAAATTATTGGCAGGTTATCGTTTTTACTTTTAGTGTAATTTCTGTACTGAGTTCCCCATACATACTTGCCAGACATGGTAGTCCGGGGTGATGAATTATTCAGGCAGTTTACTGCACCACAGTGAGATTCGATCAACACAGGTTATAAAAGAAACTTTGATCCACTACTATTGTTAATGTACTCCGATCATCTTTAAGACTGCCACTAGGTACTCAAAGTCAATGTTTACAGAAGTATTAATGAGAAGTTAGCAGACAGACAGTTGTATGTCTTCTTAATTAATGACCGGTTTTTATGGAGTAGATACATCAGCCAATGTCATTGTGAAGATATTGGTAGAATCAACCGTTTGACCTATCGATATAGAAGATATATAATATATTTCCTTTACATGGATGTTATATTATCAAAATACAAATCGAACCTAGCAGACATTCATGTCGTCATGCGTCGAGAAAAACAGTAAGATATACATCCACCACATATCTATCATTACAAGCCACACCTATTAGATACTACTTTCAATTTCCACTAACAAGGACCCTGCCTCGAACCCTGGATAGATATGTTATGATGCCAATCTTATAACACACAAGAATCCTTTGTGTCTTCCCGCACAATATTCCTGACAGGATACATATTTTCGGCACCCCCTCCAACCCCTCTCCCCACTCCTCGCTCGTATGTCTTTTCGTTCCTTACACTGATTTTTTTTTTATTTAATCCTACTTTTATATCTTCAGTATCAATAACCTTGACTAGATTCTCATTCTTCAGCTTGAAACCCTCGATGGACAGTTTTTCACGTCAGTTGATGATGTCAATAATTATGATTCCCTGTATCGCCTACCAATACTACTGACTACATTTTTTAACTAGATTACAATACAAATTTGTAAGGCTATACACTTCAATTCACTTTTTGAATTCTGATTTCTGTCCTCAAGCCACTTGAACTTGAGGGGACATGCATTCATTCCCACCACAAAGACTACCCACCTGTCATTTATTCTATACCCCGACCTCACGGGGTAGTGCTTTTTTAATTACTGTTCTGTTTGACAATGTAATATATGCATACAAATCTATACATCTATTGATAGACAAACATGTTTACTATGCTTCCATTCAGCTGTTCATTGTTCTGTGAATCGCAATAGATTTAACACGGCCGCGTTTTTGTCTGGTCGATCGTACTACATACGTTACTGTTTACCTGTTTGTCAGGTATTTAAACCAACATCTAAATATTCCTTATTTACCTGTATGTCTACACCAGCTCCACGCCTTGCAAATTCTTATATGTAATATATATAAAAACCTTGTGTACATTCGATTCACTAATACTCTACACGCTAAATATCTATATGAAATATACTCACATACCTTAAACCTGTATAATGCTTTCGAATTGAATGTGGACGCGCTTACTGTGACCAAGTGCTGCCTGTATATATTTTGTATTTGGTTTAACATATCTATGTGTGTATATATCACACTCACACAAATTCAATTGTTATTTATACCGTAATAATGATCAGCAAATATCGTGTAGATTTTACATCTGGTGTATTCTTGCTGAACCATTCATCCAATAGTGATAATTTGTTCTCCTTTCCAACACTTTCCTATAACAAATAAAAGTCTAGCTGTAACATTCGTCGAAGAACATTGTATAAAACTTTGTTATTACTTTTTTTCATGATGAAAATAGTAATACTTCTAATTTCACTAAGAAAATAAAAATATTCTTATAAACTGCAAATGAATTTCTTACCATGAAATGAAAAATCATGGTGTTAAATGCTGAAACGTTATCATGTTATTTTTTATAAGCTTTCACATATTGATATTTCCTTGTTGTTATTGTATGATTGTGCATTTCTATACATGAAATAATGTCATATTATTACAGGAAACAAAGACAAATAATTATTACAATGTAATATTTGTTATGTATTACGGTATCCCAAGTCTTCATTGTTAGTATAAGTTTTAAGCTATTGTGAATATTCATTGCCAATGCTTGCTGACACGTACCACTGTGTGTTTTGTGCCAGAGTGTGTATACAGGCGAGCAATGAAACACTTGACATTTTCTACCTTATGTTTATTCAATGATAATAAATTGATTTCGCACCTGACTGTGTCCTGACTGTGTGTATTAGGGTATTTCTACTTCCACATTGATATGCCAAAACACTCAACGGGCTTTATCCTTATAGGGTAATACGTTATCTCGCTGTTCAAAGTGTTAAATAATGCAATGCAATTAATCGTTTTCTGGAAACTGATTGTCCGTTTCAACCACCCTGACATCAAAATGCGCATGTATCATTAAATATGAATGTTAAACACACAGATATCTCAAAATAGTAGCATTGCTGTTTAATTTCTATGGGAGAAATGTTCTTTTTAAATATTTTTAGACTTGAAATACTAATATATAGTGTAAGTACATTAACGTTACATGTCGTAGGTATAAATAACTATTTAAATAAGATCCTGTAAACGGATGAAATACAATGAAATAGCGGAAAAAAGAAATATATAATGAAGCCATTGAGGAAATAAACGATAATAAGACCATGTTCCGAAAGGGTACTTGTAGTCTGCATTATCCAAGCCGATGACGATGTCAATCTTTATCAAATCAAGACAATGCTATGTTTTCAAAATGCGAATCGAGGTAATGTCATTGAAGTCAGAAAGCATGGTATTAATCGTCGAGCACGTCTGACATTTCTTAACAGTTCCACATACGAATCTTCTTCTTAAATGAAGGAGAGATTTTGGAAGCCAATGAATGACTTATGCTAATCTTAGTTTTGAATGTAACTGCAGGCTGTCTGAATCAAAACGATCTAAAATACCTGTGCAAATAAAATTACATCTAGATTTGAGTACAATGAAATACCAATATTTCACTTGATTTGTTCAAACATCGAATCCAATTATTCAAACAGATCAATGCCGGCGACAATTAGATAGAAAATACTCCATCTCATGTTCATATTTACCGGCCTGTCAGGACAGAGAATGATGAAGCACTTAAACCCCCACCCCTCCCCTCCAAATAACACTGTTGATGACCTACATTCTTCTTTGGTTGGGGAATATCAATGTCGTCTTCATTTTTTTTGTTTATTAACCTTTATCGTTGTTTACTTATATATTGGTGACATTTTGTTTTATTTTGTTTGTTTGCATTTTTTTTATATTTTGTTTTTAGCTTTGGACACTGTTGTTTATTTTCCCGTTTATTGCACTTTTTCGTTATGTTTCCAGATGAAGACGGATTAGGTTTGTGTATTGCATCAAATTTGACGCCATGCCGTCCGGATCGGATTTTGAGATTGAAACTTTAGCCCAAAGAGTATGTATCTACTGAGAACTCATCATAATTTTAATCATAAAGTTATACCAACAATTCTATATCAGATAATCAGCATACTACATCCGAAAGTAAAAACCATTACAAAGCATTTTCACACTTCACTTGTATTTATCGTTGGAATGCAGAATATTCACAGAAACATGCTGTCAAAATATCTTATTGATAGGGGTTTCAATATTTTGATGATGTATTTTGGTTTTCGGGATCTTTTAGATATAAAACATTATTTCTTTCTTCTGTATGATTTTGTTCTCTTAGACTAATAATAGATTATTATATACTAACATCTTAAGCTTTTTCAGATGATATCTATTCCAGTAGTAATAGTGATGTAAAATATGAAACAAAAATCACCATCGTGAAATAAATCTGAAATATGAGATCTATATCAGATAAGCGTGAATGAGGTTTCAGTATTAAGCTGTGGTCAACGCTAGGTATGGAACCATACATTATTAGAGGCGATAAGACGATTAACAGTTCATAATTTTGCGATCCGTTGCTGCTAGTGAATGGGTCAGGAGGTGCAGTTATAATAATTGTTCCTGTGGTATGAAACGATAAATAATACAGTTCCAATAGACAGAAAGAAAAGAAAACGAAAGAAAAAAAAACACGAAAACAAAATAAACAAAGATATCTAAAAAAAAAAATGAAAAAAATGTCTTAAAAACTAAACAAACGAAAGAAGAAGAAGAAGAAGAAGAAGAAGAAGAAGAAGAAGAAGAAGAAGAGGAGGAGGAGGAGGAGGAGGAGGAGGAGGAGGAGGAGGAGGAGGAGGAGGAGGAGGAGGAGGAAGTGGAGGAGGAAGAAGAAGAAGAAGAAGAAGAAGAAGAAGAAGAAGAAGAAGAAGAAGAAGAAGAAGAAGAAGAAGAAGAAGAAGAAGGAGGAGGAGGAGGAGGAGGAGAAGAAGAAGAAGAAGAAGAAGAAGAAGAAGAAGAAGAAGAAGAAGAAGAAGAAGAAGAAGATGAAGAAGAAGAAGAAGAAGAAGAGGAAAAGGAAGAAGAAGAAGGAGGAGGAGGAGGAGGAGGAAGAGGAGGGAGAGGAAGTGGAGGAGGAAGAGGAGAAGAAGAAAAAGAAGAAGAGGAGGAGGAGGAGGAGGAGAAGAAGAAGAAGCAGAAGAAGAAGAAGAAGAAGAAGAAGGAGAGGAAAAGGAAGAAAAAGAGAACAAGAAAAAGAAGAGCACGTATCGAAAGTAATGTAGCATACGGTCCAACAGAGATTAACCTGATTTGTTTTGATTTACATAAAACAAGAAACAAAGATTTATCATGAATACATATTTTCGTTGTAGTCTTCATACTGTCAGTCTGTCCGGTATCGTAGATACAAAGCAATGTTAATGTAATGTTACTGGATCAATTGGTCGATTCGAGTGTACGGAAAGTTCCCGGCTGTGTTGACATGCTATACGACTTATATCGGGTAGATAATATGTCCGCTGGCATTTTGATCTGGGATCAATATTCTGATCCACGGGAAAGCCTATCTATCATAGTTACTTACAAGACACGGATTTCAAACAGCAGGATAGAACAGCCCGTGTGACATTTATCGAGGTGGCTATAGAGTTCGTTCGCCAATGCCCGGTTCCTTTGTGTGTACAATAATGCAGCTACACTGTCTAGAATCTTCTTTAGTTCCTGATGCTGTGAAAAAAAAAGCTGTATAATTTCACGCTCATTCTCTTTTAGAAAATTGCTTGAAGCAACAGAAATGAATCTCCTAAGCGTATGATTAGATATAGATCTCCATATCATGATAATAGAAATATCAATCGATAAGAAACAATCTGACAGACCAACTGAGCTAAAGGCATGGGCACGGCCTAGAAATGGACCTTAATAGCAGAGCACATTAACAAGCAATGTAGGAAGCTAGATTTCCTTTCGTCGGTAAAAATGTTTGATTCCGAAATTTGTTTTTCTTCTTCTTCTTCTTCTTCTTCTTCTTCTTCTTCTTCTTCTTCTTCTTCTTCTTCTTCTTCCTCTTCTTCTTCTTCTTCATTTTAAATTCTTTATGTTGAAGTACATTTCGGTAATTTTTTTTTATATATATATATCTTGAGTGATTTCGACTGTATATTGTCGATTTGTAGGTTTAATAATTCATATCGTTTTTATATACACTGGTCTTCCTTAGAGGTGAAGGTCGTCTCTAGAAAATGATAGATATTTCTAACAATGAACTGAGACGTATTTGTAGGTAAAGCAATAGTTTACGTTACACATTGATTAATAATTGATGGAAACACTGAAGATATCAATTCTGTTTTGTTGCATAAATAATCAGGATGTGGTATCTCTCTTGTAAGCGTCGCTAGTAAGTATGCAATAATGTCACAGACTTAGATATAGACTTACATACTTTGATGTGTTGCAATTGATGAATAAAGCAGGGTACAGATAGCCCCATAAACATATATTCGTAGTCGAGAAGCACAGTCAATAGACGTTAAAACTCAAACGTTTATAGACTGTTTTATGAGAGGTCGTCATAAAGCCACATACAGACGATCTTTTTATTGCGTTTCTTTTTAAACTAGGGACGCGACACCACAATGGCTATGCTGCCTTGTAGAGTTACACAATGAGAAAATACACTGAAATAAAAAAAAGTTGTTTTGAATAAAGGACTGAACTCAATAGCATAACATTCAGTACTGCGAAATAATTAATTTCGGCGAAGTATTATTTTCGTTCATTTCGTGGGTACTATTAATCAACGAATTCTTGTTTTATTCTAAATTAACAGTAGTTGTCAGACAGAAATTTTATCTTACATTCAAACCTCACCGAATTATATTAATAGCAGATGTCTGTAAAAAAAAAAAAAATATATATATATATATATATATATTTATCTATACCACAAAATCGATCAGTCATTTGATAGCTTAGGAATAATACACAGTAGGGGATAAAAGACATTTACAAAGGTGTATTTAGGTAGTGACGACGAGACATTTGACTAAATGATGAAAAATAATGTCTAGGTATTGGCAGACATTCAATATCCTTTAAATAATTCAGCAATCTGTTCGGTGCATTTAACGATTTTGTACACAGCTAACCTACTCCAAGTTCAAGCTAATCTTACCATGTTTTGTTACGATAGCTGCCATTGTTCATACACGAAATGGAAAATTCGGCATGAAAAATGTAAAAGAAAATGAGATTTGACAAAATTAGGAAAAATAAGAAAATATGAAAAGGTTTTACGCAAAGTCCCTTGGAAAAGTAAAAGGAATGAGTCCAGTGCTCTGGACGTGCATGGGCTATCTCAAAACGCCAACCACCATTCAAATCAAGGCCAGTCCAATTAATATCACGTTCTGAAAAATGAGAGACGAGGCAACGAAACCACCAAGAATATTAACAAGCATCTGGCATATCTTCTCTCCATATCACAGGAAATAAAAGTCAAAGGACATCTCCAACTGATATGATAGCGTCCACAAAGCACTCCTGTATTTTTTCCTCAACCTTCATCTCTCAAAACCAGATAAAGACCATGAATCTATATTCGTTACTACACAACTTATTAAGAAGAAATGTAGATTCAGAATGACAGTGTTTTTATTCGTCTTACTAATTTATCAATAAATCGGTTCTTACAATTTAGGTGTGTCGTCTACGTATGCTGCTCGTTTCATTAGTAAAAACATCTTACCTTATTGATTTATTTATTTACCTTTTTATTTTATTTTGCTAAAACGAAAGACGCAAGAATTCTAGCATGAGCAGCACAAATCATCACACCAATGCTTGTTTTGTATCTCTGTTTATGGTGAATATAGAGCTTTATTATCTTCCAAATGTTCTGTCTTAAATCATTTCTGATGATGTATTTTTAACTTATGTGATTATTAAAATATATCAAAAGATGTAACAAAACAAATAAAAAACATCACCCAAAATATTTTTTCTTTAAACCACAAGTAGTCTGTATCTCATCCCGGAGGGTTTGTTATAATCTACCATTTCTTAATCCCTTCCTCATGACATACTTTTAAAAGGATTGCGAATGAGACTTAGGAAATACTTTTATATAGACAGCTAATGCTCTGTCATTGTGTACATTTCTGAAAACTTATCAGTGCAGTTATGGTACTCGTTGGTCGAGATAACAAACCATTAGTGATTGTCCGAAATAAGCTCCCTTTTATATATATCCAAACATGTTAAGTGCTACTTTCACATATCTCAAATGATTCTACAAACGACAATTAAGCGAATACACTGCTTATCTCTACTTTAAAATCAATCTAAGACGAAGTCTTCTGAAACGTCATTATATATCTTTGTATCAAACGTTTAAAGTGATATAAAATTCAAATTGTATGCAGTAGACTTTTAAAACGTTACCGTTGGTTTCCTATTTCAATTACATTACATATATATCTTAAATTAATAAAGCTTTAAAGGAAAACGCATAAGTTTTAAATAAAGACTTGTTACAAACTTATAGCTAAAATCTAACTGAAAGCAAAACGTCACAGCTTCATGAAATTCCAGCTGATCACTCTACAATATTATGAAAAAATAATAATAAAAAAACTCCTAGAGAGATTATTCTAATGAACGACAAAACGTGTTTAACTAATCACCGTGCTTGTGGTAATTTAATAAATGTTAGTTGTATGCATCAAAAAGCCATTTTTGTTGCTAACGAATCATAGTTGGTCAATGATAAGAATATTTTGTCGCTGAATGCTTGATACTGACACATATCAAGAACAAATACCCGTATTTGTCATTAGGTAAATTTCTGTTTCGAATTGAATGACACTGATATTCCCAATATGTTAATGCTGTATTCAACGACCTTGAACAGACATTTATGTTGTATATATAACAATAGACACTCCTGTATAGAACTAGGTGAGATAACATATTAGCGGATCAATACAGCTGAGAGTTTTGATAACAGGAACACGTACATAGCAAGCATAAACACAAACAAAAGGTGATGTTACCATTAAAAGGGCAAGACGGACGGTCCATGTCGGTGCAATTACATATCTCATGACACAGTTATAGAGTTATAGGTCATTTGAATAAGTCTATGTATTATACCAAAGCCTTGTTCTTTTCAGCTCTATGGGTATATCAAACATGGAGACTACAGAAATGTGCAGGAAATGCTCAACCCTATTACAGAACGGGCTGTGCTCAAGGCTATAGAAGATAGAGTGAGTATGATTTTCAGTTGTATAGAGATCTAGATGAGTATTGATACATTATAGGAGTAATTAATAACACCGTAGTTATTGCGTTTATAGAAAACTGCAGGGGTTTTCATATATACCTAAGGTTGAATAGGATAAACACATGCATTTGAATCATATTTGCTACGCCTCTTATTGAGTTGTAGAAAATACAAAAACGTATATAAAATCCTTTATACCTTTTATAAAACACGTTTGATATTTAACACAAGCTAGTAGTCTTTCACTGCGTTGCGGAAACGGTGGCTTGATTTGTGTATTCTGATGGAACAGCGGATATTACAGTCGGCTTCATACATGATTCCTCGATCAGACGTGAAAACAATTGGGGTTGCTAACTCGACCAGGAGGGTTTTCTTCGAATGCTCCGGCTTCATCCGAAAGTAGACCTCTTGAGCATATACATCAGCTACTACAAGAATAATTAGTATACGCTAATATTGTTATTCAGTTGTTGTAAAACCACTAATGTTAGTATTTTCACGTAAATTTGTTGTTTCAGTTTATCAGTCTACATACAGACACAGATCCTGTTAATCTAGCTATAAAGGCACGAGAGGAAAAGATTGCAATATATCTGGTGGAGAAGGCGTTTTCAACAGATAGGGTCTTCCAGGTCAGTACCAAATGGCATTCTAAAAATCTGCTAAAACTGTAAGATATAACGCATTCGCAGTTCTTGTTTTAAATTCACGCAAAGTTTTCAAAAAAAAAATGGTTCGCATATCCATCCTTTACTTTGGTGACTTGTGTTATGCCGGGTCGTGTACCTGCAACTGTTCAATTTGTTTTTAATTTCTCGATTATTGTCTCATATTAGATGTCTTGAGCAATAATAATCACATAATGCTATTTTGCCTATCACATGGTAGTATAGATGAGTAATGCACTAGGATTTTGACAGTTTTTTTTCGAACACTCGACTCCTAGACCCTTAGAATCACTGATGAGTCCTAGAAGGACGAAACTGCTGTAAGGTGATTTTTGGTCATTGTTTGGCTCTACTGTTTCTAACTTCGCTAGCATAATATTTTTTTGTTTTATCTTTTTTTCTTATCATTTCGTAACAAGAAGGAATTGGAATTGTCACAATGGCCAGTATTGCATGAGACTCCAACCTTCTCCCTCAGCCTCCCTATGACTCAACCATATACCAAAAAGGCTATGTTGGTTTTCTATTTCTCTCTTTCAATGTTATCTAGCAGTGACCAGTGGTGTTATTATATCAAATCTCTCTTTTGTTGCTAGTGGCCAGAGCAGACTTGTGACCAGTGGTGTTACTACGATCACGGACCGGACAAATGTATGTCCGAATTCACCGCAGTTGACAACGCCGAAAAGGAAAATTTGTACAAACTAGCAAAACGAATCAAGGAGATCAGACAAGGCCAAAGAAATCCGGGAGACGGACTGATCATCTCCACTGTACAGCACCACATGACAGGCCAACAGCCGATGGAGGAATCAAGATATCTCAGATATGAAAGGGTATTTAAGTTTCTTATCTTCGGCTTTCACAATTGACGGTTCAATCTGTTGCGGATACTGTGAAATGATGTAATTTCGTAGGGCTTGAATTTCATGGTTGAACAAAAACATGCGTTTTAGTTGGCACTTAATTTCGGGTATAATCTTGCTTACTTTTTTTATGTTTTTTCTTACTCTCTGTTAATGGTGAAATTTGTCACTCAAGTGTAGAACATAATTTGTGTTAAATCTTAATGTGACCGGCTGGCTTATCAGACAGATAGTTTAATTGCGGTCACCTTAGTGTCAGAATCATGCCGTGAAACATTGGCTGGACATGCTCTCCACCATTGAGACATTAACTGTTCACGGTTTAATTGTAGATCAGTAGAAGACACTTTCCCTATCAGAATTAGATTATAATTACTTTAGGATAAACTGTAAGATTACAGCAAATAGAGTCAGTCCTGGTGTGGCCGTGGAAGGAGTAACTTGTTAAGCTCGATACTCAGGCCATACCTGTTATCATTGTTGTAACTTGTGCTAATACTCAACATTTGTACTTGAGAACGATTGTTGCTGGTCTTTTGTATAACATAAGGATAGTACAACATAGAGGGGTAACACTCTCCTTATTAAACAACTATTTTATTGCACGTTAATAATTATTTTGATGTATATTTCAGCCCTCGCCAGTATCGGATTCAAAACATAGAAAAACTGCCGCAGATGAGGCGCGAGAAAAACTTCAGAGATACGGAAGGAAACACGTAGATAAGGTTAGAATATCTTTATTACTTATATAGTGTTTCTTACATCTACAAGGGGTTCCGAACAATTTATCGAAATTGGGTTGAACAAGGTTAATCTAATGATTAATTGTCATTTTTTACTGATTTTTTCCTATATTTTGGTGGACGACATAAAATCGCAAAAGAAATCCCTGAATGTAGAATGAATAAAAAAAAAACAATATTCTTTTTCTATTTCACGATTTCGTGACTATTTCTCATCCGATCATGCGGAAGTTTATGTACCTACCTCATGCTTTCATATCCATTTTATATTTTACAGAATGGAAATACTCTTCTTCATTTAAGTATTCGAAAGCCCCAGGCATATACATATGTATTTGCGAGCGGTGGTGTTCCAGTTAATATTCAAAACAAGGTTGGTGTGAATGTTGAAATGTTTTATAACATTTATGATAACACATACTGTTAATAGTGCGTTATAACGCGTGGGACGTTTATTCCTTAAAACTCACAAAAATTAAGGACAAATCAGAAATTTTGTCTTTCCACGAGACTCATACATGCACATTTTATCCATCAGTGCATCTTCAATACACATTATCGACAAAAACAAAAACAAAACAAAATGGACTGGGAAAAACTAAACCATAGATAAACGTTTTCACGTTGTATATAATGTGCAAGAATGAAAGTTGGTCACAAACCACTTGAACCACTGTGAAAAAAAAAGAATATTTTTCAGTCATAATAACAGGTACATCATAGGAAAAAAACAGATTTCTGTTTTGATCCAATTTTATTTGATCATCACGTGATCAAATACATAAGAATGATTTTGTGAAAGTTAACAGTACTCCCTGATATTTTGTATTTACTTATTTATTTATCTATCTATAGGACGGTGACACAGCTTTGCACTTGGCAGTTCGTGAGGGACTATACGACACTGCAGAGGCTTTAGTACAATGTAGTGCAGACATATCCCTCCGCAACTCTGTACGTATATATTAACACCAACAAATTCGTTCATGAAATTCAAATATATATGTGCATTTTTCATCTTCTGTATCTATATGGCTTGGACTATCACATACCGCCACTCTTTATTTGCATGCAGTGATGAAATAAATTTGTTTCCTGATGCTGTTATTATAAAATTGTAAAACTTATTCTTTTTCAATTATTCCGTTTAGATGGGTCAAGCTCCTTTAGCTGAAGCAGAGGGTCCCATTAAGGAAATGTTGGAGAAATTCCAGGTAAACGTTAATCCTTTGTTTACCAGCATTTTTAAAAGCAAAAAATCATCAATCATTTGAACGTATGAGCATTATTTCTTTTTCTAAATCTTACTTTAAAATAATCTTTATCATTTCTACATATGGCGCTGTATTTTCTTATTGTCTTAATATTCTATGAATGTAAATTTAAAAAAAATTGTTTACTAAACATATAAATATTAGTCGTCGGCAATATTATCTGAAGTGATTTAATTAAATGGTAAAGTGAACAACGTAAATGATTGATAATATTGATGATTTACTTTCTTAGCCTGGCTTTCTTGGTGTCGTGTTGCGTGGAAAAACACGACCTTTAGAACGATTCAGAATGTTCTGGTGTAGTACTGAAGCCTTTCCTGTTAAGGTATCGCCATTATTGACGCAGGCCGTATGGCTTGACTGACTAGCAGTGTCCGTACTGACGTAGCTAATTCAGTTGATGTGTTTTAAATTGTGGCGTGATATGCTGTGATGATGTAATGATGATTTTTGTCATTGAATCTGTTAGAAAATATCACTATTCATCACTTCCCTTTCTACAAAGGTTTAGATGTAGGAGCATAAATCACGTCTCATCACCGCCCTGTCCCACAAGGTTTTGTGAATATTTGACCACTCATCCGAAAACCTAGATATCGAAGAATCAGAGCTAAAAATTACATACCTAAGGCATTTTTACCTATGAACACAAGCATATAAAATGTTGACACAAATACATACGTTGATTTTATTATATGATTCATTTTGCCCGCATAAAAAGTTCAACCCCAAAACGACAATAAGAAATTCATGGTTTATCATTAAATTCATTTTATGACATAGATAAATATGGCGAATCAATATGGTAAAGCTGTTATAATCCGCTTATGATGTGAAGAATTCGTGACTATGTGTGAAAAGCAGGCAGTCTAATGTGTTATTGTTTGTGATAATTATTTCATGTGATTTGAAAAAAGAAGTTTCAATAAAAGAAAAAAAAATATTAACAAGATTTCATATGCATTGATTTCAAATCACATAAAATTAACGTCTTTTGTTTGTCGTTTGCCTAGCATAACACGTTTTAAATCTAGTGTCGTTACTGCAGTGTTAGCAATAGAACTGACTTGTAGAGAAAATAAAATGGCAACCCAATTGAAAATAGGTCATAGTACTAAGCTTCATATAAAAGATTACTGTACAGCTTGATTATTACCGTGGTTCAAATTTTGCGATTTTGGGAGATAAAAAAAAAATCACTGAAATCCTGAATGTTGTTTTTGATATTTTCAATGTATCTTTTGCGACAATATTCCATAATCGACAAGAGCAAAAATATTGAACCATAGAAAAAGATCAAACTATACAGTTACATTGCCAAATGATACTAGCATTTTCACTCATATAACCAGAAAAAAGAACGTCCATTGAAAGAATAACAATTTGGTTGTCATTCTTCCTCAAACAGGGGTGTTTTCTGTTAGGTGCAAGTAGTATAGAAAAAGTTGTTTTTGTTCTCTAGCTGGGCGTAGTGGAAGCCGTGTGTTGTGGGAAGTCTCAACTTTTAGACAGAATTCTCAAACGCACGTGGGCCAGTTTGAGTAGCAAGGTCAAGGTTTGTAATTTGTCAAAAGTATCATGATATTCTTTATATGTAAACTATAGAACAGCAAGTGTCGCTGTTTTCATGTGAACCTTTTCGTAATGAAACAAACACTTTCACTCCTGGAATTCGTATATCACTTCGTCAAATAAGTCATCCAGTTTGTTTTTTTGGTAAGAAATCATTCACTGATATGATTATAAACCAAACAGATGCATATCCCGAATCAAGGCAAATTGAAGGTGCGTAAGAATTGAAATAAAGAACTCTGAACATATTTGTGGTGAAAGGTTGGAAGCAGTTACTAACGAATATATACATATCGTGGTCAATTACATTTTATATCTATTTGCCATTGTGTTCGCAGTATTGTCTATAACGCTTATGTCAGATGGTCCAGGTCAAGTGATGTCCATATGTTGTCCATTGAATTTCTTTAAATCGATATAAATGAGCAATTGCGATGAAACTGATGTGGGGAAAATAAAAGAAAAAAACGAAGGGAGATAATTATGAAATATTTCTGGCAAAAATTGATTTTTTCAATGTGCGTTTGTATACGTATGCAAATGTAATGTTTACATGGCTTATATGAGTCTTTACAGAACAACAAAACTAAAAATGTGTCTGATTCTTACTGATCTAACTTCTCTGTGTGGACTCCGTGTCGTAACACACTAACTGGACTAAATTGACATAACAAGTAAACAGTTTTGTGTGCATTTGAACAAAAATATTATTTGACGTGTTCTGTACGTTTTGTGATCAAAGAAGGGAAAACATTTTTGAAATTTATTCAGAAAATAGAATAGTTATGAATTGTATCTATATCGTTCGATATACTGTGAAATCACTAATTTTCGTTGGGTTTAAATTTTTGTTGATATCGTATATACCGCAAATTTTGTTGTTACTGAATAAAGGACGAAAAGAAAAAAAATTCTTTTTTGAAATGCTAGTGTGTCCATCTTTTAATTTCTATATATTCTGTTTTTAATAGATATTACAAACCCCTTTTTCTGTCGATAGGAAGAAAAGAACATGATAGAGCTGGCGATGCTGAGAGCAGGAGTTGATCCTCAGGTTCAAAATTGTGTTAGATTACTGAAAGAATATCAAACAAGTAGCGTAAGTATCTTACATAAATAATGTACGAATACCAGTAATCAGTAGCGTGTATATTTATGAGAAAGAAAGAAAGAAAGAAAGAAAGAAAGAAGGAAAGAAAGAAAGAAGGAAAGAAGGAAGGAAGGAAGGAAGGAAGAAAGAAATGAATAAATAAATAAAAAAAATCACTTAATAATTCAATTAATTAAATCGCTCAAAATACAATAGTTCTTATTACATTAGATTCTGGTTAAACAATTCTTATCATTCTGAAATAAGGTATCTCTAAACGCCAGGCAAAGTCAACTTATCCAACAACAATTCTTGCTGGCATGTAATGGGACGGTTCCAATAGAATTTGTCAGTTTGCTTGTGAACATGTTATAACTGATCGGTTTCTGTCTTTCAGAAACTAATCCATGCTGTGCTTTGCGAAGACGTAGAGACTGCAAAGGACATTATAGAAAACGAAAAGGGATGGCACACAAATATACGGTTCATGGTCGGTCGATTTCAAAGTTATACAATCACGAAAATCTGTCTATAAAATATATAAGTTTATATATTAATTTAATGTACATTTCAATTATTTAACATGTTGATCAAAATTTCAGCTATGTTTTAAAATGTAAAATATTGTGTTAAAGATTACAATTTTTAGACCTGTGTGAAAATTTTGATGTAATTATAATTCTAAACCTTTAAGCTCACGTAAGTTTGTTGTTTGAAATAGAAGAATGATTTAATATTCTAATTCGTGTAGGACCGAAAAGGAAAAACACTTCTGTCCCAAGCAATAGAGGCTGATAATATTGACCTTGTCAGACTGTTAGTGGACAAAGGCGAGGCGAAGATCAACGCCATCAGGGTTAGGGAGAGCGGAATGGTATATATAATATCTATATTAAATTCTGTGGAAATACTCTATTTCTTTACCTGTTAGAATACTGGAAAACTGAAATCTCAAACTATAATGAACATATAATGATTATATATAACATTTTTACACACACTCCATATAACATTTCTGAGCCAAACAATTTAATTTTACTTGAAAATGAATGCTAGCATTTACGTACATTACAGTCCGAAGAAACCGTCCCCTTATTCCACAAGTGCTTAAAAGCTGGACTGAATCCAGAAATTGCAAAATTTCTCAACGCAAGAATGGATGTGATGGAACGCTTAGAAAAAGACAAGGTATATGTCATAGCGGCAAAATATCAATGTTTTCAGAGAATTGTTTGATTTAACTTAAAATCCTTTGATTCTGAAGAAAGGCCAACATTTCTGTCATTTATGATACATTTGCTAATATCGACTTCATCGTTACATTTTCACGAAATAATGTATTAAGATGACGAAAAGAGAATGGGACAACACATGAAAAATGAAATATATATATGAATTTTTTATTATCATTAGTTTCTTATTATTTTATTATTATTAACATTATTATTAAACGAAGGCGATAAAAAAATACATTTAAGTGCCAAGAACAAACATTTCTTTTTCTTTTATAAGAATGGTAACACGGCGGTGCTACGAGCAATTGAGGAAGAAGTTTCACCCAAACTTGTCCACTGGCTCATTGACACTAGTGGTGGAAGCTGTCTGGCGGAACGAAACAAGGTAAACTGATATTTCGTTGCGTAAATTCATTAAGTTTTCTTGAAATCTTAGCGTTGAAAGTGAACAAAAAATTATATATTTCGGCATTTCTTCCTTTGATGACTAGTTCAGCTGAAGAAGGCTTGTCGGCTTGATTCACGGTACTTCTTTTAGAGAAGACAGATCACGTTGAAACCGCAAAGGTTAATTTTCGAGGCAATTAATCCATGAAGTACTACAAGAATATTTTACACAAATGTATCAAATTTTTTTGGAAAAATATGTGTATGTATAACAATAGTCTGAGATTAGTCCTTTACTTAAATATGACGTTTGGTGTTGTATGACATTTGATTTCTTCTCGATTTAGGAGGGTCTTACTCCAAGAGAACTTGCATTGACCCAAAAAAGCGACGCCATTGTTAAAGTCATCGATCGCGTAAGTATTGCAGTATGTCATCTGTTAAGCAACAAGCAACAGATGATTTAATGTATGCATTCAAATTAATTTTTTTGAACAAATCTCTTTACGAATTAAATATTTAAAATAATATCTGTCTTTATTATTTTATCCTATTTTTTATTGTAGTATATTGTACAAAAGCCAACAAACATATCCATATATGCGTCCCACTTGTACAATGAAAGAGATACTCTTGACATTGTCGATGAGGTAAGAACATTTATCTTACTGATAGTATAAAGTCACGCTGTTTTCGACTGAGTAATATATGTGTGTAGTTTTAAAACTGAGCCAGAATAATAATTATCTATCTCATAAATTATTATATATAAAATATTGATGCATTTTTTCATTCACATTTTGACTATTATCTTATAGGGATAAAATGTTTGCATGTAGGTAGAACGTTGAAGTCTTAATTTCATTTTAAGTGAGGAAAAACAAAACAAAAAACAGAACAAGACAAAAAAGGGATAATATGATTAGATGACGGAGATATGACAAGACACATAAACGTTATATGTATTTTAGATGTGTTACTAAATATAGCAACGTATCTATTTCACATTCGTCAGATTTAAAATTTGGTTTATGATTACATTGCATACTTAAAGCAGATCTTTACCCAGTGTATATTTTCTGATTAATTTCAGGCCACTGGACAAACTTTGCGCGACATTGTACAGAAAAAAAAGAAGATCAAACTAAATTATGAGGTAGGTTTCACTAGCTACAATGTATACTTTTAGTGCAATGAATACCAGATTGGTTTTAAAGAATATCTTAATTCCCCTGTATCGAAAGAGAAACGAAAGTATTTTTTTTTTTTTTTTGTTTTTTTTTTTTTTGAGAAATTTTTTGATGAATTTGTGATTGGCTTTGATGTTGCATATATAGTTTGCTACTGTACTTTAGTAGATGATGAAATATATGAATCACACTGTGTGCTAAATGATATTTGTACTCTTTCTTTCAGGTAGATGCGGGAAACATATCCATCGCAGCTGCTAAGGGCGATTTAGGAGAACTGAAAAATTGTACCGCTAACTTTGTTGATAGGGTAATGCATTCCTATATGTTTTGTTGTTTGTGTTTCTCAAGCAAATCTCAAACATGTGTTCTCAAGGGATAAGCGTCTTTTGCTTTATCTACGAAACCTTCCATGTAAATATGTAATAATAAAATGTATATTCTCTTTGTGAAACCAGAGTGAATAACAAGTAATTCATAAGGCAAACTAGCGAGAATAGAACATATCTTACCCTAAATTTCGCCAAGAAAACCAATATCTCCAAATGATGGCAACCATTCACGTTTTCAAATAGTCTAAAAAGTTAATCTTTTAAACCCCGAGAGAAAGTTTTATTCCGTCAGCGGTTGACTCCTGTTTCGGGAATCCTGATATTTGCAGTTAGCCCTAGGAAACTGAATCAAGTGCAAACGCTATAGATTTGGGATGTGGAAAATAAATGATAAGTATGGACACCTTAAGAATTACGTGGTTTGGTGAAAGGTACTAAGGATAAATTGAAGATAGTGTAAATGATAAACAATCTCTGTATAACATTGTTTTGCAGTGGGTACATAACTCTTATACATCACTACAGCTTGCGTTCAGTGAAAAACACATGCTGAACTAGAGGTTGTGAAATTTGAATTTGAGTTGGCTATGCATTTCATACAAAATGTATTTTTCAGAATGGTTATACTGCCCTGACAAGAGCCATTGTATTTCGCCAGCTATCAGTATGCGAACATTTGTGTACTGTCAGGCCGCAACTTAAATCCATACCCGATAACGTAAGTACGACATAGATTTGGCGATATACAACCCTAATGCAAGAGATGTTTGTATTTCGTTTTGAAAAACGCCCTGTAAAGCAAAATATGCTTTGTTAGAGTTTGGATTGGTTTCGACCATATTATAGTACAACAACCTCATCTGCCTACCGAACATTTCTTTTTTTTTTTTTTGTTTTTGTTGCTTTCGACATCCAATATCAGTAAAATTCTAAAAGTCATTACCGCAAGTTCGTGAATATACTGAATTAACTATATATCAAGAAATTTTTCACCAAAGTAAAACTTTAGCATTTGTACCAATAAAAAGCAATTAAACTGTGATTTTAAAGCTGAAATATATTGTTTAAAGTATTTAAAGGCGAAATCAACACTGGGCAAAAAGAAACAGTGTTTTTCAAGGACGAAAAAAGTGAATGAATATTTCTCCGTTAAATGTTTAACATCAATGGCATAATTAAGACATATACATGACAATATGATAATAATTCAATGTAGACTCATAACCCGTGAAAAGAAAATTGGCGTTATTTTATTTCAGATGAACAGATACCCCTTACATTATGCCTATGCTCTCCCTGATGGTGTCGGCAAGGACTACGTAAATCTGCTGCTAGAGAAGAACCCAGAGTCGATCGAATCCAAAGTAGATCTGGTGCGTGTAAAACATTAACCACATCAGTTATAATACTCTAAACATACATATTTTTGCAGTAATCTTATTTAAACGCTTTTTGCGCTGGAGGTTCTGCGCTAAAATTATATGAATTTGCTATTTTTGGAGTTGTTGTTCTTAATTGTTCAAAATTGATAATGCGCTTAAATTCTATAGCGCCAAAACACGTACATTTATAGTATAAATCATGAAAAACTTGCATAGTTTAAAGGTCTCTTAAACGAAAGATTCTTCAAAGAAGCTTAATAATTTTAATTTTAATATTTTAAACTTTCGTTCTCAAAACACATAGATATTTAAAATAAAGGAACCAAATAGATGAAGCAAACAAACACTATGGTAACTAAAGTACTCACCTCGCAGTGAAAACAATATGGGTAGAGTATTTCCATCAGGATGTTACTTAATTTCCAGATGGGGAGGTGTGCAGCTGACTACAAGAACCTCAGACAGGAAGTAGAAATACAAACTATGTTGTACGATGCTATGACACTCGATATCCTAGGAAAAGTAAGTAAATTTACAGTAAAAAATTGATGCTTTTGTTAAAAATAAATAGATAAATAAACATGAATAAATTGATAGATAAATCAAATGAATATGTTGTTTGATTGGTATACGCCGTAACTGCTCCTTTCTACTCTAGATAATCATTTACACAAATCTCAAGTGTTGTGTACAAACATTCAAATTCATTGTACAGCCATTACCTAAATGAAATATCCAGTTTGAATAATTATTTTTGCATGGTTTCAGTCGTCAGCCATTGAGTTGAAAACTCATTTTTTTTCATAATTTCAAAAAAAATATTCCGAACTTATATTGTTATTTTCTCCAGAGAGGACCCCCACTTGGAAATTGGCCAGATGGCGCCACGAAGACGCCCCCAGACAGACACGTGATTGGACACTCATAACGAGGCAACTTTTTCACATTGCCCGTTATGTAATTGAACATTTCCAAAAAACATTTCATCCAACATGCGCAATGAAAACACGATTAACTTTTCGCTATAATAATACTCCTTGGATGGAAGCCATTGTTGTTCTTTTCATGAACGGCATATAAGTAAGAATGTGACAATGAGCTTTCGGGAGATTTGGAACTGTTGATCATAGCATAATGAACCCATATTTCGGCACATAAACCTGATACCATGGTGGGCGTGCATTCTTAGAACACCGATATCTGGAAACCGATATCAAATCGTGCGATTTAAAGAAAAATGTCGACATGATAGGACCAGGAACTATTGGGAAGAAGTCCCAAAATGAAGCAGGAATTTCAACATAATGATATTCCTGGATGTGCCTTCAGTACAAATGATAATTGTGTTAACTTTATAAACACGGATTTATTTATGCTTTACGCCATTTAGATGAAAATAGCGTGAATTTGAGGAAAGCTAAACTACTACGAGACATATCGAAAAAGGAATTGACCAGATTAGAGGCGATTTTCATCGACTGTGTAGTCATCAATTGTATATTTCAAGTCAAACTACAGGCTATAGTTGTCACTCCCCGCCTTGGTGAATGCCGGACTGAAGAAATGAATGTGTGTTATATGTATATAGACCTATAGACTTAAAAATGGAGCTAACATTTCCTTTCTGTGATATTTAGCATTTGCTCAAAATTATTTATTTTCCACAACAAAAATAAATTTCATAAAAACAAAATTACAATTGTTTTCGCTTATTTATGTCACAGACTACATGGATGTCTATATAAAGACATACGGTTGCCATGCTGTCTCTTTATGTCACAAACTACATGGATGTCTATATAAAGACATACTTGCCATGCTGTCTCTTTTTCACAGACTACATGGATGTCTATATAAAGACATACGGTTACCATGCTGTCTCTTTATGTCACAGACTACATGGATGTCTATATAAAGACATACGGTTACCGTGCTGTCTCTTTATGTCACAGACTACATGGATGTCTATATAAAGACATACGGTTACCGTGCTGTCTCTTTATGTCACAGACTACATGGATGTCTATATAAAGACATACGGTTACCGTGCTGTCTCTTTATGTCACAGACTACATGGATGTCTATATAAAGACATACGTTTACCATGCTCTCTCTTTCTACTCCTAATGGTGATTTCATTCCTACACAAAAAATCAAACATCTTAGTTTCTGGTTGCGTGACCCTGGTTTCTTATATTACAGATACAACAGCAAAACAAGTTTTGGCAAATTGTGTTTCATTTCCATAAGAAACCGTTTAAAATTTGGTTGGAATCAATGGTATGGGACGGAAGTATATCTAAGGGAATGCTACACTGATTGACCTCAGGGTCCAGAGACGAAAGAGGCCAGAGTTACTGAAATCTGACAAGTTTTTCTTCAATTTCAAGGATACTGGAATCAAATGCTCATATTGTTTGAATCAGTATACCAGATATTTCAGGGAGCAATTGTATTGTTTTTTACAGATTTTTGCTGTAAATGGAAAAGTTGTTGCCCCTAAAATATTATTTCATTTGCCTCAGCACTTTCCACATTGACTCCTTGTTAACAAAGATAACATTGATAAATTTGCTGTTGGCTTAACAATCAGTCCAACAAATAAAAGTACTTTCTAATACAAACCTTTCATAGAAACTGACAAAATAGATAACTATTCATTAATTACTTGTTTGATGGGTTTCTGCCTTAGGAACTTCCAAGGTCATTTTAAGGAAGTCTCCTTGTGGTATATGGTGGTAACAGCATACAAGAAACCCGGCACATGCTATCAAATGCAATTAGGGTTAAGTGTTTTGCGCGAGGAAATAACCGTGTCAGCACAGAGATTCGTTTCTAATTTCAAGAGAAACATCAAAACCGCCACCGTTAGAGAATGAACCAAACAAATTGTATAGACCAATGTCAGGTATGTTATCCTTCAACTCACTGAAACGTTGTGGTGACCAATGATAACCAATTTCTGAAATGGCACTGTGGTCCAAAAGAAAACATTGTATGAAGCTCATGAATAAACAAGAGGCCTAACTGCCTTGGCGGTCACCTGAGATAAGCAATATTGAATGTGAAGATTAAAGGATAGTTATCAAGTGTCAAGAAACAGAAATTATGACACTGAATATAGTAAGCCAGTGTCAATACATGAATACCATCAAAACTGTCGTCCTATACTGATAATTCTTATAAAGTTGTTTCCAGTGGGAAATAACCATCATTATGCTCAAAAATACTATGAAAATTATTGTAAAGTCTAAAAAACATATTCCTCCCCAGGAAGAAATGAGACTCATTTTGGTAATTAAAGCACCTAAAGATGCTAACATTCATGACCAGTATTTAATTCTACCATATCTGGGTCCTGAGAAGATTTTTGAAAAAAAGTCAATTTTACCCCTCTTGGCCTCCGTCTATCAGTCCCTGGGGGTCAGTCAGGATCAAAATGGGTATACCATCAAGCCGTCATCCTTCACTCATAATTCTAACCAAGTTTGAAATATTTTCAATGGAAATAAAAACAAATTATGCTAAAAATATAGTTTTCCTATATAAAATATAAACTTTACCCCCTTCCCACGGGTAAATGTAAGGCCCTGGGGCCATGAAATTCACAATTTTAGTAAAGCACCTCAAGATGCTTCAATTCATGAAGAGTATCAGATTCTACCATGTCTGGGTCTTGAGAAGATTTTTGAAATCTGAGTCAATTTGGGGATGGGGACTGTATAATTCACAATTTTGGTTCATCTTTGGCCAGGGAAGGTTTCTGTAAAATTTCATTGAAATCAGATTAGAGGTTTTTGAGAAGAAATCAAAAGTATTAAATTGTTCATGGATGCATGATAAACAACACACGACGCGGGATGAATGGTATCAGAATACCCAAATAAAAAAACCAATAAAATAGGAATAAATACAAAATAAAATGACTGTCTTTATTGATTTTAACAGCAATACAAACTTAACAGTATAGCTAAATACATGCTGGAATAGAAAGGACATCGATCAGCGATTTGATATCCTGTGTAAATTGCTGATCATCAATGGATACACAAAATTAAAAGACAATTATACATGGAGGCAAATACAAGACATACTATATTAATGAAAAAAGAGCTACAAATGTATCCGAAATCAAAGACAATATATATATAAATACACAGAAATACAATTTCTGACATTTTTTATATACAAATGACAAACATATTGAAGAATCAGGATAATTATTTCATTGGTTGTAGACCAAGCAAAATCATAAAATTAGTTTAGAGATTCTTAGAAGGAATATTTTGCAGGGCAAGATTTCTTATTTTTCAAAACCTGTCTATAGAGAACAAAATACATTAATAAAGTAATGATTTCACGACAAGACTAAAATTTGCCAAAGTTAGAATTAAAAATAAAATTTGGAGGTAGAAACCCTAAAAAATCTTATGTTTTATTTGGCCTTCTTATGACTTAGATGTAATACACACTGAGAATTCTAGTGAGATCAGTTCATAGAACGGTATATCAAACAATCAGGTACATAAAACGCTGCTACAATTATCTAACAATTCCTATTATTTGTGTCTCTTTCAAACAAAGTGTGCAAGTATTGAAGAAGAACTGATTGGTCTGTATATCTCAATTTGTAAAGAAAGAAGAAAATATTGTAAGGTAAATACAATTTCAAAAACCATAATCAAATTAATTTTACTTTTGATTTTTTAGTGTTGCCAATAATTTCAAATATCTATGACATTAGCAATGAAACCATTAAAATAAACCCAATATGAAACGATAAACTGAAACTATATTCTTCAAATATATATTACTTTTACTTCATTTTCATATTGTCTTACTTAATTTACTTTTAATATAATAGCATGTTTATTTTACATTGTACAAAATTTATCTCTCAATGGAATACCTCTCAACACTTTAATAGTCTTCTTTCTACTGCATTCAAAAATTTGACATTCAAAAACATCAGCACCAAATTAAAACAATATTTAAATGCACTATATATTTTTTTAAGTCCCCTCCGCCATAATCAATTGTCTGTATACATCCTACATTTGTGATCATAACGTGAAATAACATACAAAGCCAGAAGCAAATCAGACACAAGACTTACATATCACACACAATCTCTCTTTCAAGGATACTACCATTCTCTTACCATAGCATTTCAGCATATGATCAATTACAAAACTATTTCATTATTTCGAAAATGATATGTGGAATCTGATACATCCAATAAAGAAAACAGAGCTAAAATGTCGTTTTAACCTGAAAATAATATAATTGAAAGCTGTACACAAATAAAAAAAAAAAAAACAGCAGATCAAAGTTTGTTAGGAGTTTATTTGTTTCAAACTTTGCGAATTTCTATTTGGTAAATTAAGTTGGGTGTTTTTGGAAGAAAATGTGAGAAATATTACACATGCAAATTTAATCTATTGCTATTTGCCTCTTTTTTGGGGGATCTGAAAGCACAATTTTTCAACACTTATGACTGGATATCGCCAATTGAAACATGCATGTACCAGATAATCATGATATGGAAATCATTATGCAGAGTCAATCTCATATGTAACATGCACAACTTCTAATATTCGATTCTGACAAAATCTAAAAATTTAAATACCAAAAGTATCAAGAATAGGAAAAATCAGAATTTATGTTAATTGTAGAAAAAGAAATCATATTGAATGAAAATTAAAGTTGAAATTTTTTTTCGTGTGTTTTTGTGAAGAATTTGAAAACAACTTTTGATAATTAGTTTTATGTAGAAAGATTTTTCGAGACGCAAGTTTTCCTTATTTCAGTGATACATTCAGTAAATACATACTCTGATGGTTTATTTACTTTATGTATAAGAGATCATTTAATGAGAAATACTGTAGTATCAATATTTTGGTGTACTCAAATTTTAGCAGCTTTGAGTAAAAATGTACAGGTAAATAAAGTAATGTACATTTTTTACAAAAAATGTCACATCCCATTTGATGAATAACTAAATACAAAGTTGATGGATTTTCTGAGCTGTACAAAAATTATCAGAATTCAATACCATTGCAGCAATATTGAAAACCATATGCAGCCATTCAAATTCTTTTTCAAAGTTTTCTGTTCATACATCATATAGCACGATTTCTTTCACCTTTAAATTCCACATAAATTGTTTCATTTGAATTAACAGCTATCAATCTCATTTTGTTTTATTTGAATCACGATCTAATTTTCCACAACACAATGTTATGTATATCATGTATGAAAAAGATTTTAAAACCAAAATCATATGATATATTTCTTATTATCAAATTTAACCCTTACAACAAATCTTGTATCAGGTGATGTTGAATTTAATGCATTGTCTATGTAGACAAACTGACAAAGTTTCTTTATAAAGTATGTATAAGCTCCTGCTTTTTATGTTAATGTTTAGTCATTACTATCGAAACGGACAGCAGACCATGGCTCCTGGTTTTTGGGTATAGGGATACAACCCTTAAGAATTTACCAGATGATTTACTCAGAAGCAATAGGCAGAGTTAGTAACTGTGGATAGAAGTGATTAATTTTGGAATCCTGGGGTCAAATAGATGTTTTACTGGAATAGCCTTTTGCAAAAATAGCCAATATTTCTGACATAATCATCATTCTTCTGACATGATCATCGTGCACAATAAAATTGGTGTAAATTTCTTTTAAACTGATGGTTTTTGTTCTAAAAATGTTCCGATTTTGGCAAGATCCTCACCAGCACGACGCAAGATTGCTAGAGCTTTTTCACCTGTAAAGAGAAAAGAAATGAAAACATTTTTTTCTATTAACCTCTATGAAGAACATACAAATACTATAGAAAAAAGGCTGTGAATGTCACCAAATGATGTATACCAGAAATGTTTTCCACAGTTTAATTCTTGTGAGCTCTGTATTCAATTGAAATTTCAAACAATTTTAATGACATATAAATATATACATGAAAGGGATTGGAGGACATCAGGCTGAGCCTATTTAAGTCTATATTTCTTGAATACAAATAAATATGACATCAAATACCTGGTAGAAAAGATTAACATTTTGGGCATTATGATCACATTAAAGGGACAAGTTTAACTCTAGGTTTCTTTATCAGCAATGTACAAAAATCAGGAAAGGTAGAGTTTTTCTATCATTCAGAATTCACCAAATCAGGTTGACTTTATCAAGTACATAACACATATATTTGTCTTCTCATTGTAACCATCATCCAATGTTGAACGCTATGAAACATAACATCAACGCCTTCAATGAAACCATCTTACAGTTTTTTCATCCCAAGTACCTTAATGTATACATTCCATCCCTTATTAACAAATAATAATGTAATAAAAAGGATACGATAGGCTATTTTAATAAAGATTTTATCCCATCCTAGGATTCCAGGTTTTGTTTAGAGGTACCACCAACAGAATTTAATGGGTTATTTGCATAGTAGTAGGTGAGAAGCTGAACTGTGGATAAAAGTCTTAATGAAAGAGTCCTGGAGTCAAGTAAATCTTTTACTGGAATAGCTCACTTTAAAAAATCATTTTCGTCATTATCATATAATTTTTCGTTGTTTGTATGCAAAATGCAGCTTTCTGATTGGTCATTTTTTTTCTTTTCATTCCTTAATGCAAATAATGAAACCCATCAATCTTTTATTCAATTTCAGTCATAAGACACTTGTAAAACCTCATTACACACTATCTACAGACATGTTCCAGTACTTACTTGCTGACTCTGTCTCAGTGTCTGTAACACCAACAGGAGCTGTTTTTTCAACTGTTGATACTAATGGCTCAAGTTCATGAAGTATCTGTAGCCCCTTTTGAGGAATATGATCTCTATCAGGTCTAGAACCTTGGTCTTGACTTGGTAAGAGTCTGTTTGCCATAGATAGGGCTCTTTTTGCACGCTCTAAAATCTCATCTTCTTGCTCAAATTTGTCTAAGTTTGTGAGATCTAGAAGCTGTTGCACAACCTCTTTCTTACTGCTGTCCGTGTCACCACAGGTGATATTTTCGCCAGACATGAATGCACTGTCATCCTGCTTGGGGAGTTCTTCAGAAGTACCAGGACAGAACATGCTCTCGATGGAACTTCCGACATCCTGGTTTGTGGTATTAAAAGGAAGTGAATTAAACTGTGATGTCAAGTTTGTATGCAAGCCTGTTTCCTGATTGGTGGACTGTAAACTTGCAGTCTGATATCCTGTATCCTGATTGGTGGAATATCCTGCATTATTGTCTTGGCTGAAATCCATCTCAGCCATAGAAAAATCTTTAGTTGTTACAAGTAAACTAGAAGTCTTTATATCATCAGCAAATCTTAGGTTTTTGATTGGCGGTACCGAGTCGTAGTCCATTGGTGTGTTATCTAAGTCCTCTTGGAACAAGCTGGTCCGATGTTTATGTCGACTGAGGTGAGAGATTTTGCGATTAGATACGGTCTTCTTCTTCACAGAACACTCCTTACTGGCTACTGGAGTAACTACATCATCATCCTCCTCTTCTAATGTGAAGCCTTTAATATTGAAATCATCAAGAATCCAAATTTAATTATAAGATTTAGAAAAAGTCTACAAGACATGAATGCCCCCACTGCTGTAAAAACCAGAATCCGATCAGCTGTATAAAACTTGATGTTATAAATACTATGGGGGTAAATATAAACTAAACATTTTGAGAGATTCTCAAGTTAAGAAATTCATTCAGAAAAGGCCACAAGATGACAGATAAATATGGGTAAAATTATATCCCTCCTCCCGCATAAAATGGTACAGGCAAAAATTAGACTTCAGAATGCAATCTCCTATCACTTCATTGTAACAAGCCAATTGGAACCAGGTAAGGTGCAAAGTTATATTTGGGCCAATTATATAACATTTGATGTCATTTCTATATTTCTATAAAGGAAATGAGTGGGCTTATTACCAAGCATGGGCTTATTGATAGTTATACAATAATTCCTAAAAGAATTAGTTATCGTTTTATGTAAAATAATGATGATTTCCAAGTGTTAAAATCACTTCCTTCTATAATCAACATCTTGAACAAAATTGGAATTTTACTCAAGTAAAAAAAAATTTGACATTTACATATTTATAAATACAAATGGACTTTTTCACTAACGAGTTCTGCTGCTTGTACAAGATTCAAATTAATTTGTAAAGTTGTCAAAACATTTTCAAATGAAGCCAATCCTGAAGGATTCATTTAAGTGAAAAAAAAAAACTGTAAAAAAACAAATCATTAATTTTCCTGAAATTTATTTTCTTAATTTACCTATTCAGATGTCCATTAAAAAAGATGAACACATAAAAATTGAAAACTATTGCAGGAGAGTACTAGTGGCTTTCAAAGGCAAGGTTTATCAATAAAAACTAGTGCCAACAACCATACATATTTTTGTAAAACTACAAAATTTGCGTTCATTGAAAATATACAATTTTACAGTACTAAAAACAGTTCATCGTTTTCTTCATTACACATGACACCTACCCTTGTTATCCTGTATGAAGGACCCATCAGCATTTTCCTCATTGTATGGAGATTCTGATCTGATCGGAGAAATTCCAGGACTTTCTAAAGACGTACGAGACGGATGACGACCTTCCTCTGGAGAAACATCCCAGTTAATTTGACTTTTAATTGGAGAAATTTCAGGACTCAAAGGAAGATCTTGCGTGAATAAAGCTTTTCTCTCCCCTGCGGAAAAAATGTCATCCTCCACAAAACTACCCTCATGAGGTACAAAGAATCCTGATGATCTTGATTTAGCTGGAAAGAAGGTTAAAGGTTAGATAAAAAACTTTAAAATATTGAACCAAAAAAACTTGAAGACAAAAAGAGTTTAAATATCTACAAGTACAACAACTGAATTATAATATCAAACAAGAGGCCCATGACCATAAAGACCTAATTATAATATAAAAGCAGTTGTAGAAGTAGAAACAGTCATGAAATTATTAAAACAGCGTGGATTGTATTAGCAGTTAAGACAAAAAACACTCGTTGTTTCAGTTTCTTAACATTCTCATTAAATTTTATCTCAGTGGCACCAGTGGCCATATTGGATTTCGGAATGACCCAGAAAATAACTTCATTTGGTCAGAGTATTTCAGGCAAGCTTCAGTTCAATCCCAAAGTAGGACTTAAAGAACTTTTGATAAGGTCTGAAAAATAAAAGCAACTTTGTCTGCTTTCCTTCATTAACACTCCCACCCATTTCCAGCTCAATGGCACCATTGAACCAAGAAAAGTTTCAAATGTGTTTTTCTTTTTTTTAAATGGCGGCCATAATGAATTAATGACTGACCCAAAGAATAACAACACTTGGTCAGAACCATCTTCCTTCTCAGGATCATTTCAGGCAAGTTTCAGCTCAATCTCACAGGTAGAAATTGAGATGAACTTTATAATGTTAAAAGTTAATCTGCAGCAGATAACAATGAACAAAACATGACCCTTCAGGTCAGATTACCCTATGAAAAACTTCTAAAATTAAAATCAGACACGAAAATAAAGAAACTAGAAGGAAAATTGCAGAAATACTTTTTGAAGTGTCGTCATAGATACCAAAATGTTGACATGGATTCATGTTTATGTGTCTAACACATTCACCATAGTATTTCCTGATATTGAACAACTTTTGACAAAAACATGTCTAATTTTCCTATTCAGCTGGGTCCATTTTAAGGACAATACGTACCAGTACGACTCTGGTGACCTCGGAAAATGGGAGATAACTCTGTGTCTGAGAAGTCCTCTAGTGGTGGAGAGTGGCTGTGTTTTGGTAGAGGCAAGCTATCAGTATTTTTAATGGGACTAGATGAAAACTGGTTCTGAAATGGAGAAAATTTTGTTTACTCCAATTATGCAAGACTGACTGATTCCAGAAATATTGCTACTGTTTGTGGACATGGATTATATTCAAATCAAAATTGTACCAACAATTTTAACTATTCATTAAAAATAATTTTAAAATTAGTATAGAAATAATAATTTGAGATTCTTATAAACTATTTCATCAAAACAACATTGCTGTCTCACAGTGGTTCACAAATTATCTATGGTTATCAAGTTATTTAGAGCTCAGTCAAGTAGAAGAGGTAGAGAAAGGTGTTTTGTTTAAGGATAGGACAAGGAATTTGCGTCAAAAGCCAGTGTGCCTTCAATCCCTACATGACACAATGCTGTAGTACAAAGTGGTCCATGAAATCCATATTTGAGAATATGGTTTGATTAACCAATACTATCCTGTATTAAAAGTCTTGAACTTTAAAAACACCAAAAATTTCAAATATGCTTTGATGTATTTATTACTAAAAAAAATAATTTAAAAACACCAGTTTCATTTAAATGTTTTGGAATATTTTTTCCACTGTTTTTAGTTTCCACTGGAGTGACCAAAGCAAGAAACACCATTTTTCAGTCCTTTAAATATCAAAATTTCAACAGTACTGTAAGAATCACCTATATTATGAAACGAAGTTATAGGGAGAGCAGCAACAAAAAGTGACATCCATAAGAGGCAAAATGATACATCGCAATTCAATATGTATCACATTTGCCTTCTAATTCAATTTTTGATATCTCTTTGCTACTTTTATATGATATATTGTCTATTACAGTTGCTCAAAAAAGACGCTAATTAAAATTTCTCCTGATCGTTATGTAGAGAACTTTTTTTAAAAATATATATTTTCATTTCATTATAACTAGTAAGAAAGGTTTCTATTATTGGTTTTTTTTTTACTTTTTTTATTAATATTTTTTATTATTTACACTTCACACTGGTATCTTGTTCTGATACTATATAATATTGTAATGGACTTTTTATGTCCCTCTTAAATTCAGCATTAAATAACACTAACAGCAAATTTAATATCAAAAATGATTTAATCAAAGGTTGAAGGGTATGTATCACACTGTACATCTTATAATCACTAAGATATATAGATACAACCCTGCAATTCCCAGCTTTTATTAACCACACTTAGAAAACTGAGGTTCTCAGGAATATGTGATGCATACATCACAAGTCAAGTTTTGGTAATCAGTATAACAAACCAGTGACTTAATCACACGACCAATCTGCCTAATGATGGCATACTTACCCGTGAAGGAGTCTTTAGGGGCGTGGCTTGATCCCAGCTTTCTGGCAGTTTTGTCTGTTTGACTGGTAACACTCGAGGCGAAGCACAGATGTTCACTAAACTATGGTCACCCTCAAATGGCCCTGCCCTGGAATAAAATGGCAGCATTTAATGCTACTTACTTATAAAATATGGATATTCTTTTTAAAAGTTTCATGAAATTAAACCTCTTAACTGTTTTCTACAGTAGTTTTAAAGTATAGTCCCCCCCCCCCCCAAACAAATATTTCTAAGGGAAACAGAGGCAACATGCAAGGAGTTAAAGGTAACATATCACGTTGATAACTGCTTTGTCACTGAAGAAATAGGATACCAATTTACCACAAATTATATTCTTTATGGCAAAACAATTAAGTTATTGAAATTACCAACAAGGCTTTCCTTCTTTGCATAGTTTTCCTAGGTTTTAGTCACAATCTGGATAGCAAATTTTGTTTTCAAATTTCTAGATTGCATCCAAGAAAAGATTCAAGCTTATTAAAAATGCTAATGTACAAGATATTGTTATTTTCCATGATTTTAATTTCCAAACCACTGAATGTCAATGGTTGTCAGAGAGCAAAATCAGAACAAATCACCAGGTCTATTCTTAAGGCTATATAACCAAATGCCTCTTGAACTAGTCAAACTGTTTAGGCTTTTATCAAATAAAACACCCCCTGGACTCACTTAACAGGACTGGGAGCAACACTACTTGTATCTGCCTGGAAAAACAGCTTGCGTCTGAGAGAAGAGGTGCTTAGCATCTCTTGGTTGTTTTCATCGCTGAGTTCACATGTCATATGTTGGCCTGTAATCATCATCAATGGATTTTATATTATAGTGTAAACATATATCTAGACATAAAAACATTACCAAATGTCCTCAATAAAAATGTGATAATTAAATGTATTTATCCTCAAATAAGCCTGGCCCCCTCCCTTAGTGTTAAAAGTTAAGTACTAAAGATTGGGGAAGGATTATTTGTTAACTACTTTTAGCTCACAATTCTAAAGTTAACGATTCTGCAAAAATGGAGAGGGAGCTAATTTGTTGATAAAAGAATTGTATAATTTATAGCAAAAAAAATTCAGTTACAACTGAACATCTTGTAAAATTATATTATTTTTCAAACTGAAGCATTATGCATATGTATCTTACCTAAAACGTTGTTGATATCAAAATCTACTGGTAGAGTCAGCATGGTTTGGCAACCAACTACAAATAAAGTCAATTATCATTTTTCTCAGTAAAGATGATTTTCCTATAAACATGTTTTGTTTCAATTATAAAATTTAAAGAAATCACTAAATAGTTCACATAGACCTTGAGATTTTTTTTTAAAGAAATTCAAGGACTTTTCAAGGCAAAAATGCAAAATTTCAAGACTTTTCAAGGAAAAGATTCAAATTTGAAAAACTTTCCATATCTGTGTGAACCATGAATAATACTTTCTTAATGAACAAGAAGAATAAGTAAAGTTACATACAAATTAACATATATGAACTGACATGGTCAGATTTCCTGTTTTTTTCAAACAAAGGCACAATTGATTTGTAAAGAAAACTTTTGGAAGTACGTGATGTTATATAAACTTAATTGGTAAGTTTGGTAATCATATGTTTAACATTTAAAAAATTGAGTTTGAACTTACAGAGAATGAGAAACAAATATTCAGTCCTATTTCATTCGAAGGGAATTTCAATATTGACTTCAAAATTTACTACATGGCATTTAACTTTGGACAAATCAACAGAGACTCAGGAGAGTCATCATTGCACATTATATTATTATTCAATAACAGGACTTTAAAGTCACAACTGATACATATATACGCCTGCAGCATCAGACTCTCACCTTCCTGTGTCCGGATAGATTTCTGCGGAAGCTGCTTCTGTATTGATCCCTGAAGGTCTGGCTCTAAACAAGACTTAGGCAACCGCTCATCTGTCAACGCCAATTAACAAAACAACTTAAAATCAACATTTCTAAACAAATTAGAATGAAATTCATACATCCTTTAGTCATTCCATGGACAACTTCGTACATTTTTACCATATGCAGTTATGTCTTAACTTTTTCCTTCTTTCTATCAACACACATTTCAAAGGTAAACCAGTATCTACAGAGATAACCAAGATTCTATTACTTATTGCACTGATTCAGAGATGATTGGTAGAACTGATTCGGAGATGATTGGTAGAACTGATTCGGAGATGATTGGTAGAACTGATTCTGAGATGATTGGTAGAACTGATTCGGAGATGATTATTGCACTGATTCAGAGATGATTGGTAGAACTGATTCGGAGATGATTGGTAGAACTGATTCGGAGATGATTGGTAGAACTGATTCTGAGATGATTGGTAGAACTGATTCGGAGATGATTGGTAGAACTGATTCAGAGATGATTGGTAGAACTGATTCAGAGATGATTGGTAGAACTGATTCTGATTGGTAGAACTGATTCGGAGATGATTGGTAGAACTGATTCGGAGATGATTGGTAGAACTGATTCGGAGATGATTGGTAGAACTGATTCGGAGATGATTGGTAGAACTGATTCTGAGATGATTGGTAGAACTGATTCTGATTCTGAGATGATTGGTAGAACTGATTCTAAGATGATTGGTAGAACTGATTCGGAGATGATTGGTAGAACTGATTCGGAGATGATTGGTAGAACTGATTCGGAGATGATTGGTAGAACTGATTCGGAGATGATTGGTAGAACTGATTCAGAGATGATTGGTAGAACTGATTCAGAGATGATTGGTAGAACTGATTCGGAGATGATTGGTAGAACTGATTCGGAGATGATTGGTAGAACTGATTCGGAGATGATTGGTAGAACTGGAGATGATTGGTATTGCACTGATTGGTAGAACTGAGAGATGATTGGTAGAACTGATTCGGAGATGATTGGTAGAACTGATTCGGAGATGATTGGTAGAACTGATTCTGAGATGATTGGTAGAACTGATTCTGAGATGATTGGTAGAACTGATTCGGAGATGATTGGTAGAACTGATTCGGAGATGATTGGTAGAACTGATTCTGATTGGTAGATGATTTGAGATGATTGGTAGAACTGATTCAGAGATGATTGGTAGAACTGATTCGGAGATGATTGGTAGAACTGATTCGGAGATGATTGGTAGAACTGATTCGGAGATGATTGGTAGAACTGATTCAGAGATGATTGGTAGAACTGATTCTGATTGGTAGAACTGATTCGGAGATGATTGGTAGAACTGATTCTGATTGGTAGAACTGATTCGGGGATGATTGGTAGAACTGATTTGAGATGATTGGTAGAACTGATTCGGAGATGATTGGTAGAACTGATTCAGAGATGATTGGTAGAACTGATTCGGAGATGATTGGTAGAACTGATTCAGAGATGATTGGTAGAACTGATTCTGATTGGTAGAACTGATTCGGAGATGATTGGTAGAACTGATTCGGAGATGATTGGTAGAACTGATTCGGAGATGATTGGTAGAACTGATTCTGATTCGGAGATGATTGGTAGAACTGCTTCGGAGATGATTGGTAGAACTGATTCGGAGATGATTGGTAGAACTGATTCGGAGATGATTGGTAGAACTGATTCAGAGATGATTGGTAGAACTGATTCGGAGATGATTGGTAGAACTGATTCGGAGATGATTGGTAGAACTGATTCGGAGATGATTGGTAGAACTGATTCGGAGATGATTGGTAGAACTGATTCGGAGATGATTGGTAGAACTGATTCGGAGATGATTGGTAGAACTGATTCGGAGATGATTGGTAGAACTGATTCAGAGATGATTGGTAGAACTGATTCTGAGATTATTGGTAGAACTGATTCTGATTGGTAGAACTGATTCGGAGATGATTGGTAGAACTGATTCAGAGATGACTGGTAGAACTGATTCTAAGTGAATAATTTAAATAAGAAGGATTTACATACACAGAAATAATGGAGATATTTTGGTTATGAACACTGTGACAAAACTCTATCACACTCAACTTTACCTGAATTTGGTGTGGTCTTAATGACAGGTGCCTTTGGGTCTGACCATGGAGAGGGAGCTACCAGGTTATCGGAGAAATACTTCTCTATAGCTTGTTGTACTCTCGCCTCAGTCTCTCGGTCAGGTCTGTGGTACATATACAACAAAGTGTGATATTTTACTACAATCTACGCCATCTTTTTCAAAATGAAATAATTTCATGTAAAATAAGTGTTAAAGTAGCTAGCACAATTACCTATCTTTTGATTGATGTCTGCCATAGCATGTTCCTGACCAACCAACACAGCTAAATGCATTTCTTGATAAATACAACATTAACTCCCAAACTCAATGCAAATTGATCATGTTTACATTTTCATCTCCATCTAAGAGATAACAGTTACGCTTTCTTATTTCTGGAAAACACAACTAGTAGCAACTGCAATGAGGTGCATAAAATTATGTTAATGGAGATTGGACCACTAAGATCTAGAATGTATATTTAGAAATTAGATACAAGTTACAAGATACTGGTTAAAGCTTCCTGTAATGCTATTAACAGTGAAAATTTGTGACACTCAATTTCTACAGATACTCAGAAATCTGTAAATGTCTTAATATTTAGTGGAGAAATGAAAAATATCTTATTTTCTAGCTTCGGGAAAAATGTAATTTATGCAGAATGAATCCGTGGCACCTGCATGTCGTTACGACTGGAAAAATGCAAGCGGCCCAGGTCTACTCGTATGAAAATATGCAACTATGTCTAAAATCCACATAGGACTTGTGGCTTTTAGCTGGACACAGTTATCGTTTATAAGACTCTTTGAGATGATATTATCGAATGCTAGATTTACTTACAGAGAATGAGCAGTCTGTTGTTTAGGATTCTCCTCAATATCTGCAGGGTTTAACTCAGCAATATGCTCTATGGCCCAACTGAACACCTTCTGTAATGAGTGTAACATACAAATGATATCATCTTAAAGTCGAACATTTCACATGATTTGCTAAAGGAAATTACGATGATTTTTGTCCACAATCAGAACTAATATCACATAAAAATATTTTCAATAAAAGAAAACAAAAATTTCTTAATTTCATTTTCTTGGCTAATAGAACATGACCATACAGAGGTTATATAATAACCAAAACACTTTAAACTTTTATACACAACACAAAAAACAAAACAAAAATAAAAAAAAAATGAACTGATGAAAATAGTCGCTCAGCAATTGAAATGATAAAAGTTGAGTTGGTACATGAGGATTTTGTAATCAAGATTTATCAAATGCATACAAAAGTGTGTATTTTTGGAAAAACCATGAAATCTGAGTCTCCATTCCCTAAAATATGATTTTACAGTTCCAGGTATTTCAGTATATTGCATTCAACCTTACAAGACAAATAAGAGCTTGTGTTTCTGTAACTAAATGTATGTGGACATTTCTATGCACCTCACAGGTCAAATACTGTATGTATATATATATAAAAAGATATATATATATATATATATATGGGTGTTATTTTTTTAATTTTTGAAGAATTTACATGTAAAACAAACATACACAATACATGTACATGAAAACCCCATAAACACTGATCCTTAATGGATAATTATATACTGGATCATTCTCACTTGCACTCACACAAACAAAAGATGAAAAAAGCATAGAAAAAAGGGTGATGGAGAGTGTGGAGGGGAAGGGTCAAAAAGAAAGGAGTGATGGGATCATTGGAATGTGAGGAGGGGAGGGGTTGGGAGAGTGGGATGAGGTGGGGGATAGTATGTAAGAGAGGTAGTTTCTCCAAACTACTTAAATTTATAAATCAGATATCATTTATGATGAATGTTTATTTAATAAATAAATATATAGACTGTGCTTTGTTGACTTGATTTACTATGTGGTTACAAGCATCATGAAATATAAGGCAAATTCTAAGTTTTAATAGTGAAATCACACTAGAGATAAATGTATAAATAACTAATGAGAACTTCATGATAGACAAACATTCAAATACAAATGTTGAGTATATACCATAACTGGTTACTCATATTTTGATTAAATTGGTTAACTTAACTGATTAACAATAAATCAGATAAAACCGCAAAATGGATGTTATTTTTCATTATCAGTATGTATACAAGTAAAACTCTTACTCTAAAATTTTTACCTTTTCTTCATTATCTGGAGATGAGCGTACAGCAAATACTCCAGGACTCATGAATATTGGTCCACCAACCTCGCCATACATCCCATTATCAAAGGGATTTGTGATTATCTCCCCTTTGGGTGTATATTGGGGAAACCCAGGGGGAAGCCTGTTCATCTGTGGGGTATTATAATGACTAGGAACTTCATTAGTTTTCCTGATTGGGGTCTGGAACATTGGACTGAGCCCAGCAGGTGTTGCCGACAATGGAGTGTAGGTCTTGTGTTGATAAGGAGATGACATCACTGACTTGAGATAGAGTTCACTTCGTGTGCCACTTCCTGGCATCTTGTGTGCAGGACTTGGACTTGAAAAAAAGAAATTGATTTATATAAAATCCTTACATAATTTCAACATATACGCTAAAAGGCAATGCACTGATCAAAATCAAAGCAACCAACAAAAGTATTTTATGACACGCAATATCTTTCTCTTTTTGTTACTCAGTTGAAGGTTAAGTATAGCATGTCCAGTTCTTCTGTTGATATCAGTATAGAGATACATGTATGTAGGCAAAACTATCAAAATCTTGTTTGAATATTTCTGTTGTAGTAATATAGGCTCTGAGAAAGAATATCTAAATTTGAATAAAAAAAATTATAAAAAAATATGAAAGAAAATAACAATCCGAAAATAAGTCTGAAGGGTTCCGACCATTTCTTTGCATTCTAATGCAGACAAAAAAAAAAAAAAAAAAACTCACAGAGATGGTTATGATAACCACTAAATTAACCTTACTATTAGGCCAAACAAAAATGTATTCCTTGTTTCCAACAACCCTATCTACCTATCCAAATATTAAGTGCATACCCTAAATCTTCAGGGCACTTGTCAAAGAAGTAATTTTAAAGTCAAGATCTCTCCTATTTAAATTCAAATTTAAATTATTTAAGATTACTTGTTGAAATAATACCTATTTATCCTAATTTTTCCAACGTGTTACAGGAAACATTTTTTTTGTCTGGCCTTATAGCTTGAGTTTTTTCTAGTTCCTATGCCAGATGTTAGATATTTTGACATACATGCACAGATGACTGGTATGAACCAATATGCTTAATGCAATGATAATAGTACAATGTCATTTAAATAATACAATAAGATTTTTTTCTCCGACAAGGTTTTCCATAAGAGCCGGTCGCTGGCCAATTTGACAGGCTACTTTGATCATTTGGCCGTCTACACCAATCCAGTTCTGTAATAATGTTCCGTACACGACTACACATACACGGCAGGCCAGCCTCCTACTTTCACTACACAGCCTACTACTAACAAAATTATGGAAAACCCTGCTCCTATCTTATATAAGTGTGAAATCCATTGACAGTCATTAACTACATACATATAAACCTATTTATTCTGTCAACCAGTTTCAAGCATATTTTGATCATGGCCATCAATACATTGCTTGCAAGATATGCCAATCGAAAATTTGATATCAACCAAAAAGTAAACACTTCCAAGAGTAGTGGCCGTTTCTAAAAGCTGCTTGAAAAAATGCAGATATCAAAAAAATGAGTTAATATATTTAGGTTACATCTGTCAATGGCTTTGACAATAACCTAAATCAATAATCGAAAAACCTTTTTTACTTCCCATCAACACTGATATGGAAATATTTTAAATCATATTAAACTTCACCTGTAAGCCAACCCATGCATAGGTTGCTAAAATTTTGTGTTTTATATACATGTATTTGAAGGAATTCTGACTAACAACGACAAACATGATAAAATTTAAATTGCAAATAGATAGCCAGAACCCTTCACACTAGTATGGACCTGAGGACAGTATGTATAGCATCTGGTGTATAGGAGCCATGAGGAACTCAAAAGCTACCCTTACATGTACCTACATAGAATGGCTTCTTTTAATAATTTCAATTACCTGGACATGAATGTCGGGTGTCCCAGCATCTTTGATGATGGAGTATGTACTTTGGATGGACGTATAGGACTTGGCATACTTTCATCATTGAATTCATCAAGGAAATGCTTTTCAAATGGGAGACTCCTGACAACAGTTTTTGGTCCAATATCTTTGATTGGGCTATTTACTGCTGAAATCAAATCTTTCACCTCTGGTTCTTTGACCGTGACCTCTTCCATGTTTTGGTGAATTGAACTTAGGTTTTTGTACTCTCATGTAGATGGTGTATCTTCAAAGGAACAAATCTGTAAACCAAGATCATAACGTTATGAAAAACACATGCAGCTGGAATAGGAAATTAAGAAGTTGGCTTTCGTTAATACTGCTGTATGTACCCCCAGCAGGTTCAAAAGTTACATAATATGACAACATTTTAACACACGAAAAAATAAACTTAAAGTATGTCATATCATTTTGACGTCAACAAGAACAACATTTCGAATACGCTTTGGTAGCTCTATTTTCTTTCCCTGTTCCAAACGCGACCGTTACCTTCAGAATATATTGGTAATTTCGGAATGTGATATGCTTCCAATCATCCAAATTTACAAATTGTCCGAACTGTAGAAGGATTTCCGGATCTGACATCGATATGTGGTATAACTAGGAACGGAAATACGTTTATTTAAAAGTTCGTTGTACTGTGTTTGAACACGTTCTAGCTGTCAGCCAAAATTTGAAATCCCGCCATAAAATGTAAACTTCCGGTAATAATCTTGATATACTAGAAATAAATTTATCAGATAAGAATAATAATTTGTTATCAAAGCATTAAATTTATATCGTCACAATTTTTCATTAAATCTATAATTACTTTTGTCACAATACTGTAATATTGAAAAGAGTTTTTATTTTTGTAAATTAATAAAAAAAATAAGTCCTTCTAGAGTATCAAAGTTTTATCATATCGATAAAAAATAATTCCCAATGCTTATTTCACTTTTTACATCAGATTTTCAAAATGAAAGGAAAGTTGTCGATAGAGATGTCAAATTAAAATTAAAAGGCTTGAAAGCATATTTTACTGCTCCGTTCACCCTATTACGTCAAACATGGCGGACTCTAACTCAGCGGGGAAACGTAGAGTGTCTTCTGCAAGGGAAACCATGGATTGTAGGTTCAACACATCTTTGTTTATTTGTCTTATATTGTTCATATATTTTATTGTGTATTCAAATGTCGAATTCAGATGGTCTAAACATGTAACTGTCATGATAACATGGCAAGTTACGGCCATACTGTGAAAGATTCTAGATGTTTCGTGTCGCATATTCATCGGAATGCAACTACTTAGCCATATCAAATTTATTCAAGCCCCAGATTCTTCCTTGAGTAAAGAAATCTTAAGCACATCGTAAGTTATAAAAAAACTATTAGGAGGTACTGGAGCACGAGTAAATCTAGGTAAATAGGCAGATTTGACTTGTACGTTTATAGGACAAATATATGCTGGTGACGTCGGTCAGATTTCTTTTTCGCAGATCGGGGAAAAAATGGACGACGAAATATGTAACGAATCTATAGCGAATCCATCCAAAATGGCGTCATTCACTTATTGTGTCATCTCGAAATAAGCATCCCGTTGATGCATATTCTGACTTACTTACTAAGTCTTACTTAGCCGGCAGTGAACTCGGGCCTTTAGGCCTCTATATTCAGATCAAATCCTTAGTCTTAATTCGGGCCATATGTGCACTTTTAGCATGATGTTTGCTTGCAGTGTTTTGATAATGAATTTTGGAAATTTCTTTTCTCACAACAGAACATGTTGATAAAGGGATGCAAGTACCAAAAGTTGCACTGATGAAATTCAACCAACTCACTGGAAAATTTTGTTCTATGACAAAACTAATTTGTTTTACCAACTTGCTAGATTTGTTTTCTGTTTTTCCGATGTGCACACTAAGATTGTGAGCAGGTATAGCTTGGTGGTTTACATTTGCCCAATATACATATAGCCTGATTTGTTGGTTTACCTGAAGAAAGGAGTTTTCCTTAACTTAATGATTTCCTTTGGGCAATTTTAAGTTTTTGATATTCCTTAATCAGCAAAGATTCATGTAACTGTGGCATCTAATTTCTTAACTTAATATTACATATAAAATTGCTAATGGAATGATCTCATACAGAATAAAAGTGTGTTTGGTTTTTTTTTTAAAATAAACTAATAAGTAATGATCAGCCAGGATTCTTATCAGGGAGATACATTGGAGGGAATACATGTTTACTCTATGATATTACGAAATTTACTGGAGAAAATGATATTCCCGAAATGATTTTGATGGTAGATTTTGAAAAAGCATTCGACTCTTGGTCCTGAAATTTCATAAGAAAAGATTTTTTTCAACTTTGGCAATGATATTTAAAATGGTTCAACACATTACACAGTAATGTTAAGTGAACAATTAATTATTTATTATTTTAAAGGAGAATATTGATATTGATCTTTTATCAAATATTGATGGTGAATATGTATTAAAATGTGGTAGCTTATGTACAAATAATTTTTGGAAAGATGTCTTCATTGCTTGGTACAAATTAAATAATTCTAGTGAAATAAAAGAATTACAAAAAAGATCATTCTTGACAAAGTGCATTTGGCTTAATAAAGATATAAGTGTCGCAGGTAAACCTATTTTCTACAAATCATTTTATAGATCAGGAATACATATGATTGCTGATCTTCTAAAGGATTCAGACAATGTTTTTCTAAATGTGTGAATCATTAGGAGAATGCAGTGTATATTATTGTCCTATGTTTCTTAATATATCTATGTATATGTTCAAAATGATTCCAAAATATAAAAACAAATTATAAAAAGAAAGAAATTGGTGCCAGATTGGGTTGTTTACATTTACACGTTTGACCAGAGTTGTTCATTTAACAAATGAAGGTGGACCTAATGATCTTATTTAGTCATCTGTGCAAGTTTGCACTTAGATTTTGAGGCCAGTTATGTGAAATGTCAACCATAACGCCTCATTTTTTGAAATCAGACCATTTAGCACCTTTTGTGTAATAGTGGATACATTTATAGAAAGTGATGAAGGTTGCCTTACCATTTGAAATTCAGAAGTCAATTGTGCAAGAAATAAGATGTGCTCTTATCCTTGATGGCAGTACTAGTGTCACAAGATATATAAACCTATGAATTATGATTGAATTTAAATATCTTATTGGGTTTTTTATTGAGATTTTTTATAATATAATTCCCAAACTTACAACCACAGCTAGGCCCCATTCCTAAAGATCTAGACTAATGACTATCTCACATTAACATCTCATTAAAATCAACTTTTCTTTGTTTTGCAGCATTATTAGAAATATCACGACTTCTGAACACAGGACTTGATGCTGAGACGTTGACCACATGTGTTAGGCTGTGTGAGAGTGGAGTAAACCCTGAAGCTCTAGCTCTTGTTATACAGGAGCTGAGGAGAGAGACAGCGGCTGTCAAGGTATGTGTTACTGTGACCATCAACTTCTAGGATACAGCTGTTATAATTGTTGACAACTCTTACATCTTGAAGTTCTGCTATTCTATATATAGGGTAATTCATTGTCCCAGTATGTTATACTGTACTGTAGGTCTAAGGTTATTCAGTGCATTGTATATGGCTAGGTTTGGGGTTTTACCATGGCCTTGTATGTATGTCTAAGATTATTCAGTATCTTGTGTATAGGCTAAACTAGAGGTATTAAGTACATTACATGTCAAGTGTTGTGGTTCTCAAACACCCACACAGTTTTGACTGTCAATCCCTACCACTTACAGACACACCGATTCAACAGTCAACAACCCGCCCGTTTCCCTGTAAACTGAAACTGGCTCAACTCCTTGTAGATGGATGTTGGGTATAAGTGATTGAGACAAATGACTTGTCTAACTAACAGTCATACTGTGGAGTACATGTGTTACCTGTGGCTCTGGGTCTGACTTGTGTATGCACAGTACAATGTTTATGGTCAATCATGAAGTGTTACTTTCACTATGCAATGTTTACACTAATCTAAATTCAATGATTACCGCCTTTGGATTTGTGTTATTTATAGTGACGCCACATTTGATCATCTGATTTTGTGTTGCACCTCTTGAACGTGGTCGGCACAGAAGTTTGATCAATGAATTGTATTTCGTCTCACACATCGCTTCGTGATTTTGTTTGCGATATGTATGCCAATGTCAGGATTTAAAGTGATGAATTTTACCAAGTTTATACATTTTGCCATGGACTAAACATATAACATATTTCCCAGGTTATAAGCCACACAGGTATATAAGCTACAGAGCCGATATTGAACGATTTTTTTCTATTTGATCCACATATAATCCTCATCACAGTCTTCGCAAAAGGGATGAAAAATTGCCAGTCATCCAGACTGGGGTAGTTATTTTTCTGCCAGACTGGAAAAAAATCTGCCAGACCAAAAAATAAACAACAATATTCTCCAAAAAAAACAGCATATTTAACTTTATTCATGCAACACAATTATACACAGATACATTTCTGCTTGCATAGTGATCTTGCATATTTCAGTAGATCCCTATTTCCTTAGACATGTAATAATAGTCTCAAAGTTCATCATTTCATCTTGAAAGTCTAGACATTCAGAGTCATCATTATTATTATTAATGTAACGACGATATGTTAATACATTACATGATGTTCCAAAGCGGAAATGTATTGAAAATGTTTCCAATAATCGAAATTTTATTCTTGTTTTCGTCCGGGAACTTTGCTAACAGCATTTACAAATCGGCTATGATACAAGCAAATTGATTGGATAGGCTGGCATTGCTTAACAAATAAAAAAAGTCGATACATTTCGAAGTTATTATACCGGAAACTTGTCTCTTTCGTACGAAAAACGCTGGCAAAAATAGATACTTGTGCCAAAAACATTTGCCAGTTGACCGGACCGACGACTTGACAAAAGTGCCGGACCGGAGGGAATTTTGCCAGACATGACCGACGGTCCGGAACCTTTCTTACGATATGGTGACCACTATTGTTGATGTTTGATATGCTGTTAACAGATAATGGTAGGCATTTCTTACGAAGCGGTAACTGTTATGTTGACCAAATTTTGTTGATATAACAGACCACAGAAGGCAATTTATCAAAACAATCAGTGAAACATTTAATAAAATTTGCAAATGAATTTATACACAGATAA